TTTGCTGTCAGTCTCCTGCCAAACACTTTGAAATGGATGATTCCCGTAATCAGTGAAGTCATGTTCCTCCCGTGGAGCGTGACGCTAAAGCCAATCGAAAAGTGGGTAAATCCCACTACCTGTCACTAAATATAATTGCTGCTGCTGCTGTTGATGATGAAATATATATATGACACATCGCATTGTTCTCAACTATCCGGGGAGATGGAGCAATGCAATCAGCTTGTGTGCAGATGCTGGCTAGGTGGGTTATTACATCACAGCATTGTGAGATATGGTTACGGCGTGGGGATTCCTGAATCCAGTAGTGGATTGAGGATTATGATAATCAGGGCTAAACATCTCATGGAACATTATCCAGAACCTCTATCTCCCAATCCACTGGACCACCCACGACCCCCCGACAGCGAATGGTGTGGGGAGAGATATTTTCCAAACTTCAGCCTTAGCCAGCTCTGGCTGAAATGAAGTCCTGATGATGATTGTGTCTATATAGGCGAGATTAGCAGATAATGTCTCCTTCATAAATCTGTCTGTCCATACAAAAACAAAAAAACACATTGGCCTCACAGTCTTCTTGGAGTAAATACAGCCCTGGGAGCCGAAGGGGTTTTGTAAAAAATATAATATTTCCTGTTTAAATTTTACACGTGGCTAGACAAATACATGCTTATCTATGCTGTGCCGATTATACAGGACTTGGTGTTGCCAAGCAGGCGCGTGATCAGACTGCGCAACCAGGATGTGTGTGGCTCCGGCGAGACGGCGTGGGAGAGCGTGAGCCCGGGCGGCTCTAACCCCGGGGTCGATCCGCAACCGCTGGTACGAACCAGGGTCGCCGCCAGTTGCCAGCGCACTCACTGCAACTCTGCAGACACCGACCGCACTGACCTGAGCCAGCCGCCAGCGCAGAGTGACTCCAAACCATCCTCAGAGTTACGCCCGGAGGGCCATCACCCACTCGTTTTCTGGGAATTTCCATATTCAGTACCCGTTGAGATCGTGGCGTAAGTGACTACATTATCAGCTCAGGGGGGGGGGGGGGGTGCTGCAATCGATCAGGTTGGGCCCCCCAGATATTTGATTTGTCTTGCGCGGCCGCACCGAGTCTTGTATACATCGCGGCTTCCTCTTGCCTCATCACGTCATCGTTACGCTTCGCGGTCTCGAACATTTAACGCTGTCGGGGCGCGCTCCGTCTTCGCGAAATAAGCCGGTGTCGTTCTTTTACACTGCCGTTGAAAACACATCTCATGGCGGCTGTCAAGGTGGGCCCCAACTCGTAGCTTTGACCACCTCTGCCCCATGTTCGTGTCGCTACTGCGTTGGGACAAAGGGTCCCTGGTTGTGATGGAATGGGGTGCTGGGCCTCGCTCCGGCTTACACGTGACAATGCGAGCGCTCGCCACGTGAAGAAGCGGGCGAATCGGGAAGAGCACGCCTGGCGGAGGAGGTCGCAACTCTCCAAGTGATCGTCACTCTTTCATAGCTGTCAACCCCTTATCAGTGCCGACCTTATTACAGACCAATCCAGCAGAGGTGGGACAAAGTCATTGTTATGCAAGTCCAAGTCGAGTCTGAAGTCATCAAATTCATGACTCGAGTCTGACTCGAGTCCAAGTCACATGACTCAAGTCCACACCTCAGAGGTGGGACAAAGTCATTGTTATGCAAGTCCAAGTCGAGTCTGAAGTCATCAAATTCATGACTCGAGTCTGACTCGAGTCCAAGTCACATGACTCGAGTCCACACCTCTGCAATCCAGACCTTATTGGTCACCCCGTGCCCTTTATAAATCTCAATGTTCATCCTACAAAAGTCCCATCGCAAGGAAGAAACACAAACAAATATACTTTTTGCCCGTTTTGAAACGACTGTACGCCGTCTGGACCTGAAAACTGAATTTCTCTGGACAAGAATACGACTACACCGTATGGGTTGACAGGTATGCTCTTTACAAGGAGTAAGTCTATACGGCTGATTGCATACAGTGCATCCTACAATGTGTACATATATCGCAAATCAACGGCCACCCTAGTTTTTAACATTGCCTTATATATAAACAACTATACGTGGTAATATATTTATAGTAGGTATACCCTACTAAAAGGATAAGGAGACAAACAAGCATTTAATTTAAAATCCTACACACGTCCCCTACCATTCTCAATATACGTATTAAACATTGAATTATATTCTATCTGGAAATATTGAACAATCACTTTCACAATGCACATTGAATCACCTGTTGAGAAGGTAAGTCGAAATGAGTGTGGTATCTATTCACGGATCACCGTGTACGTTTTTTTTTTAGCAATATCCCTTCTGGCAATAGTAACTCATATGAATAATAAATAGTACACACACAGTACACACAGTACACAAACAGTACACAAATAGTACACACACAGTACACACACAGTACACAAATAGTACACACACAGTACACGCAGTGTTGTCCCACGTCCGACCGCATAGCCGCACTACGAGTGGATTCAAACGGCACAATGCGAATTTTGTGTAGAGAAGAAATATGTTTAGCGGCGTACACGCGAAATTGCAAAAAAACCGAACGGGCATAAAGCGAGGGGAAACCCTGCGTGTGTATACATATATATACCGTTTCCTATACTTAAGTAGGATATTACATCCTACTTATTATATACAGTGTGTATCCTACTTGAGTTTCTCAAAATGTGTAAACTGCAAATCGCATGAATGTACATGTTTGACGCTCCTTCAACTTTCTTGAAATTGTGATTTAAAAATACATAAAATAAACAAAAAAAACTACGACGTTTCGATCGCAACACAGGCACCTAATGACGACCGCTTGTGTTGCGATCGAAACGTCGTAGTTTTTTTGTTTTATTTTGATTAATTTGAACCTAACTACGTGACTTACCGAAAGAGCCAAAGAATAGGAATTCCTGTAGTCACGAAAGCTTTAAGTTGAGGTTGTAACGAATGTTCGCTTCAAATGAACTTGCAATGACATGCAACCCTAGAATTACATTTCTATGAATATAACCACTGCGACAAATCACCTTTTAACAGCTAGAAAACCCCCTTTCCCCATCGTTCATGATTCATCGTGTTTAGCAATGACATCGATCGGAGTTCGCGCTCACCATGCCTGTGACCGGGTGTAATTCAAGACTCGCATTTGCTCAGCGCATTCTTTGTTAAGATGTGATTTTATTATTTGTTCTTCATATGTACCGCTTTAATTTAAGATGTCAATGAGAACATATTTAATGGTGCAGTTCGATTTTTTACATGTGATTTATATTACCTGTTGATTATGATATACTTTTGAATGTTCTATTTAATGCATTTCTATGTCGAGGATGATTCTTGACACAGGCGTAATAGCAAGCCTCGGCAATCAATTTTAGACACAAAATTTGATTTCACAATTTTCTCAATTTTCTCAATAAAGGAAGACATGAAGACGGTCAACGCATCCCCTGAAGATGCCCTGGACCGAGCCAAATGGAGAAGACAATGCCGAAAAGCGGACCCTGCGCCACAGCGGGAACAACGCTAGGAAGAAGAATAATTTTCTCAAAAGACCACAGCCAGCTGAGTGAACGATTGTTATTCTTTTATTAGTATGATCAAAGTCAAAATTCTCTATCAGGGTTTCTTGCACAGCAGAAAGATATTCTCTCCACAGGCAAGATACAGCATCTGTTTGCGTTTGTCACTTGTTCAGGGTTTGTTTAACTAGAACAGTTGCACAACATCAACTCCCAATTAACTAACTTCAACCCAGAGGGTTTGTGTGACACGGCCCGGCCAATGGCCACTTTCAGGCCGGTGCTGAGTGTGCCGCACAGGGACAGCTGCCACTGGGGATACCCTTTGAATGTTTGAGATGTGGTGTCAGACGCGTTGAGCGCTGACGATTTTAGGTGCCATATAAATGCAAAGATGCATTGCTTATCGACTACGTATTGCCCAGAGAAATGGCAATTGTCTATTCTCAATCCTATTCACGTGTCATAAATCAGTAAATGCCATATCTGCAAGAATTACGATATCTTGTTTCATTAAAGGTCATTTCATTAAGAATATATTTCATTACGACGCTTGTATGTTGCGTTTTAAAAAGCTCAGAAGACTTTAAGCGTAGGGCAACATTCGGGTGCCATTCATAATCAACGTTTTTGGGTTAGATGGCATTATTTATAAATGTGTCGTAACCCTCCACCACCCGACACGGCCAATCAGCAAAAAAAGTGTCACGTTGACAAATAACGCGATCTAACCCAAAAACGTTGATTATGAATAATATTGGTCGCGAATGTCTACTTGTTAAACTGATTCGGGTGCCACTCAAAAATGCAGTTTGTTATTTTCAAAATCGGACCTCTTGATTTGTATTAAATTTGCCAGTTAAACCGAAGCTACTGGAAGTTTAAGATAACATCCCTGAGTATATACTGGTTGCTCAATGATGCCTTCGACTCGACACACACACGGGTCGTGGTATTAGGTTATATACTCAGAGGATTAGACAGGATCGTGAGCAACCCGTGAATACGCAGAGATTAGAATTACACTCAGAAATTGACTTTTATCTCAAAGGTAACAACATTTTGAGGATGTGATCCCAGAAAAGTGAGACTTAACTTATTTTTTACCATTTGCATATTGAGTCGCACCCTAGGCTACATGTTTAAGCAGGTCAACGTTATACGGTACTTTGACATTAGAATAGCATTCACTCTTAACGGGCTCATGCATAAATCATACTCCAGGACGTGTTTATGTTAAGCAGAACGCCACCGCAAGTTGGTAACGTAATTATCTCACTGCACGTGCTCATAAATACCACGTCAGCCCAATCGATGCCGAAAACCGAGTCTGTACATGTCTCCAAACAACGCGCTTCTGAACATACAACTTATTTCTGAATACACAATTGACAACCGCGTCACTGTTAGATTTTTTCTTGTTAATTCCCCTCTATAAATCCGCGACCGAATTCAGCTTGCTTCTGTTCCGACGCGGGGTACGTTGCAAGCCACTGCCAGTTGCCGTATCACTGTGCTGCAAATCGGGAAACAAGAGCAAGCCATCATGCAGTCCTCGAGCTCATCCTATTCCGGTGGCATGAGCAGCAGCAGCGGCGTAGGCACAGGAGGCTCAATGTTTGCACAAGGCGGTGGTGGCGGTGGTGGTGGCATGAGCAGTAGCAGCGGCGTAGGCTCAGGAGGCTCAATGTTTGCACAAGGCGGTGGTGGCGGTGGTGGTGGCATGAGCAGCTTTTATAGCGGAGGGGGATCCATGTCCAGCGGGGGCATCTACGGCACGGGGAGTGGTGCCAGGGGTGGTGCAGGATTCTTGGGAAGTGGGTTAGGAGGAGTCCTTGGGACGGGAGGAGGTCTCGGGTATCCCAGGTCCTTTGGGGCTTCTGGATTAGGAGGGGCTGGCGGCACGTATGGGGTGCCTGGCGGCATCAGCGGGGGGCCGCTCTCCGCTTTCGGCGCGGGTGGTGGAATGTCCCAGCTGGGCATGGGCCACGGCACCGTGGTTGGTGGCCAACTCATGGGGCCCTCCGGCGGCGGCGGTGGGCGTGTACATGGGTCCCACGGGCGGCATGTACATGGGTCCCACCGGCGGCATGTACATGGGGCCGGGGGGTGTGAGCGGCCCGGCCGGCTTTCCCTAGCAGCCCGGCTTTCAGCATCGGCAGAGCCATCACTCAGGGCGGGTTCCACAGCACGGTGAATAACCTGATGAAGACCCTTCCGCCCATGGTCAACCGCCTCACCGAGAAGGGCATCCTGAACAACCTCAACACGCGCCTGGTGGGCTACGTGGAGAAGGTGCGCCAGCTGACCATCGAGAACGCGATGCTCGAGGCGCAGCTCAAGGCCATGACTGGCAGCAGCCCCGTGATGCCAGACCCCTCCATCACGGTGGACAACTACGAGGTGACCGTCACCGAGATGCTCAAGAATATCAACGTGTTCACCATGGAGCGCGTCCACCTGGAGATCGAGGTGGACAACCTGAGGGTCGCCGCCGAGGAGATCAAGTCGAAGTCGGTTTGCGCTCTTTTGTTTGCACGGGACGCGTGTTTGGTCACCGTGCTGTCGTGTTTTGTTTTCTCTCTATATTAAAAAAGGGCTGCTGTTCTCAAATCTAGTTTTGAAGCTTTCGTAACTGCAATGATTCATATTCTTAGGTTTTTTCGGTAAAGTCACGTAGGTAAACGGAGTGGTAGCTCCTGCAATCTCTCATTTACTTGATACAGCTGTCGTGGCTGTGACGGTACCACGGAAGCTTGTGTTGCCTCCGAAACGTCGTGATTTTTATTTTATTTTACTTTTTAATGTTTTTACCTACGTGACTTTACCGGAAAAAACCTAAGAATATGTTCTCAAATCGTTACGTTGCAAATAATTTGAGCGACGATCATGCACGGAGTGAGGATTAACGAGGATCATCAGCTTCGTCATCGTCGTCATCAAATTTCGCGTCCAATCTGAAATCAGAACACACAAATATAGTGGTGCATTATTCACAGTGTGTTCACTAACAACCAAGTGTATCTTATCACACTATTATAACCCATGCAACATGTGTTGCTCATGGCGAACTTAAGCGAACAACTTAAAGATAGATTGTTCGATTGTAGTTACTGTTTTTATATGTTTAATAACAATACGCGACACGGCACATCGGAAGGTGCAGGGTGCCAGGGTGCAGTGTGCGTGGGGAGTTTTGAGAGCCCCTGGGTTTAAACCCTCGCCGATAAAGCGAGCGGCCCCACTGACTTGGCTCTCAGGTGTGTGGCTCTCAGGTGATGCAGCTCCCAGGTGTGCAGCTCGCTGGCGCAACTGGGCCAGGTCCCAACGAGCCGGAGGGGGGTGAAGATGCCAGATTATAAATAGGGGGAGCGGTGGGGGAATCGGGACGGGGCACAATTTAATTCGTTGCACCGGTACCCAACCCACCCACGCTCCACTTGCTTAGGCACACGGCCGCGTAATCTCAAAGTTAAGAAACCAATAACCTCACAAACCACATGGCACAAACAACATATACTTCAACACCGACCTCGCAGGAAATAAAGCAACGTGTAGCTGCCGTAAACACATTTATCGTAAAGGGACACGTGGTTTTCCAAAAAAAAAGAAATAACCTTCAATTCACAAGTGTCAATACAGAATATGTGTGTGTATGTATACGCACAATGTATCACCTGTTATCATAATACCATTGTTGTGTCCAGGTATGAATTTGAGGCTGGCGTGAAATTCCAACTGGAAACGGACATCAGCAACATGAAACGGGTTTGTGTGCGCGCGTGACATCGGTAACATCGGCAACGTGGCACCTTTTGGCTTCATTGTGACATTGCCGACGCTTGGGGCCACCGTGCAGCCTCACGGCTCCGGCGCTTTCATCGCACGGGCCTGACATTGTGGGGAAGCGTTGAGTTAGGGCACTAACTTTCCGTTGAACACGTAGGCTTTCGCGAGCAATACCCTGCAACACACCGACGGTGCTGTACTAGAAACGAATTGGCACGTTTTGTTTATGTGACAAAACTTACATAGTTGGCTGTGTCAGGTGGTGGCGGGTTTAACGACACATTTACTGCGATCTAACCCCCCCCAAAAGTAAGCGATATTATGCTCTAACTTTCGGTCCATGTTCCCACAAAGGACCTTGACGCTGCCCAGGAAATGAAGAGCGACCTGACGAGCAAGTACTCCATTCTGCAGGAAGACTTGACCTTCCACAACACGATTCACAAAGAAGTATGTCACCCATTACGCGCATGCATTTTAGTCAGGCCAGTTCATTTGAGCGAGATGGCGCGTAAGGCATTCGTCACAGACTGCACGTAACGTCAAATGCATGCCCTGCACAATTAAGGAGAATCAGTAACTTCATTTCGACTGGAGGTATCCGATGAGCTACAAAGCACTTTTTTCATAGATGTCCTGTATGGGCGGGTCATACATAGCCATTGATTATGCAGGACGTGCATTGAGATTCGTCATCATCAATCATTTTCTATCCACTGCTGGAAGTAGGACTCCCCCCACACCATCATCATCCCTCAAGATTATACACTACATACTTATTACATGTATACATAATACCAACTATGTATCATCGTAGTCGATGGGCTTAATTATCAGAGGATGTGTACAGGACCATACCGCTACAAACGTGTATCCGGCCTTCCAATTGAAGCAGATTTCTTTCAACGCCAGCCAATCTCGCTTATATGTATAACCCGAGGCTGCTAACGATTCTGAAAGAACCCGCAGCAACGAAGGGCTCGCTTGACCGACGACAAACTGGTGGTTGCCAATGTTCGACGCGCAGGAAATGGTGAAACTGTCAGCCAAGTTCGGCAAGTACGCGACCACACACAGCAGCATGATCGAGGTGGACAGCGGCAAGTCCATCAACTTGATGGATGCGCTGAGCACGCTTCGTAACGAATACGAGACGGCGGCGCAGCGCAACCGCGAAGAGGCGGACGCTTACTGCACCAGCAAGGTAACGACGCCGCTGCTCTGGTCCATCTCTGCACGGGCCAGCAACGGAGAGACGCAAAAACGCCCTCCACCATATTAGAAAAACCCGCGTCTCTCCAGTGAGTGGCAGGGTGGTGGGTGGGTGGGTGAGTCAGTCGGCGGTGGGGGTCCAGGTTGGGGAGGGAGGCTGTGATTGCCCCCTCTTCCAGAACTGAAATTTGGTATTTTATTGATAATTACCAAAGAAAATACGTTGATTATTATTTTTAAACATTGTTGGGTCCTATTTTAGAAATGAAACTTGAAATTTGAGGACTGCCCCCCCGCCTCCCATCCCCTCCTCTCCTCCACCACCCAGACGATGAGAACCACTTTCTCGATCTTCCTCTGCTGGTGGTGCTGACCCATTGCGGACATCGCTCATTCATGTTTTATTTACAATCTCTTAGATGAAAGACGAGTCAAGGGAGAGTGATGTAGTCACGTCAGAGAAATGTAGACCGAAGAGAAAGGTGATGAGAGTAAAACGAGGTCCGGGGAAGACAGACGTGGAGTGCGATGAGAGGCGGAGGCAAGATAAAATGTGGATTTAGATGAGAGACAATACAGGGATGACATTATGTAATTTTTTTTCCTCTGTGTTTTACAAGGCTTTGAATTACAGCTGACATTTGTTATACTTATATTTTTTCATGAATCTGGGGCACACTGAGGTGCTTAGGAGGCAATATTTGTATTAGTTTATGACTTGTGCGACCACTGCACAACACTTTATGCAACTTTATGTAACTGGTGACACTTCACGCCAATGTAATTCCCACAGTAATATCCCTGCTCTTGTAGTTATGCATCACGCTCACACAACTATGAAAGGCAGAACTTGTTTTACAAAAAATATAATTTTGGACAGCAGAAACTGGCAATGAAATAACGTAACTCGTGTGGATGTAATAAACGCTATCTAAATACAACATTGTCAAAACATACCAGCTGATAGCTAGTTAATTTCAGCAAAGCCTTTTTGATGACAGGATCCTTAATACCTCACTGGTGGTTCTGGAGGATAAGATGCAAGAGGATCAGAACTTTGCCTAATGTACAAGTAGATTTGCTCACACGTGCGATGAAATCATCTGAAATGTACGCTCACGGTTGCTGTGCGCCCCTTGCTCCAACAGATTGAGCAAATTCAGCAGCAAACAACACAGACGAGCGAGCAACTCACGACCATAACGACAGACATGACGACGCTGCAGAACGAAATCGAAGACTTAAGTGTGGAATATCACAAGCTCATCAATGTGGTACGGCATTGTCTGCAGTTGTTCAACGAGCACATTTCCATGCGGAGTGTCTGTCACCACATACACCACACTCCCCACGAACTTCTCACGAACCCCGATGCCTTCATTGATACTCTGTTTTCATTCATCCATTCTCTGTTTAACGATCACACAGAACATGCCTCTTCATCCTTATTTTCTTGTACTGCTCGACTTTGCATCTCCATCCCATCGACCATTTCCAAAGGTTCCGAAAATCTTGTTTAATTCAAGGGATGTGTTAGTTATTGCGTGTTCTATTGGCGTTAAGTTGCTAAGCGCTGTGTGACAGACAGGCTTTTGTCAATGTATTCAGCATGAGTGAAAATCGCTGAGTATCTGCCTGGTTCAAACGAGCATGGGACACTGCTCATCTCTATTGGAGGCCCTGAGCCAATGATGGAAATTCCACATTTCCAATGTGGGGCCAGTCTTCTCATGAAATGACACTTAATTTTTCAAGCCTGGAGTAATGATCGACTGAGTAGACCACAGGCATTGACAACCTTTATTACAAATATAGAAGAACAAAAACCCTTGTAAAATAACAGCGATACAAAAGAGCCAAGAACAATTTCAATGCAGGATGTTTAAGTCGAATTTGTTCCTTCTGAAACAATTCACTCCCCCGCGTATGTCCATCCGGCAGTATAAATGGGTCGTCGTTCGATTGGCAGGTGGCGCGTGGTGGGGTAACTGTGTCGGTAACTCCCACCTCTTCCAAGCACGCAGGCCCTGCTGCCAGCAGTGGTGAGAGCAAGACATTGTAGGGCTGCGCCTTTATTGAGATCATTTTGCTGCTAGAAATTTCCACATGACAAGCCACTTTGTTGAGCTATCATTTGTGAGCAGGTCGCGTCTGCAAAATGAGTTAATACCTCAGTGGGCTTTACTTGGTATTATGGTGATAGTTTCGTTTTATTTGGATGTTTTTGGGTGCTTTGTTTACCTTTCTTGTACTTTGCTTTACTGTCGCGTTTTTGTATTGCTTGTTGCGGTAACGTTCTTACCCGCCCCTACTGGACACCTGTGAAAAATAGCATGACAGCTCACGGCATTCCTCCTCCAGTATAAACACATATTCGGATTCTGTACCTTTCCTCCTTCTGCAAAAAAAAAAAAAATCCAGAACCAAACGCTGCAGTCGACACTGCAGGAGTACCAGTTTCACTCCACCACGAGCGTCACGGACGTGCAGAACCTCATCGTATCACTCGAGCAGGAGATCGAGGCGTCGCACGTGGCGCTCCAGAACCAGCTCGTCAACTACCAGGAGCTGCTGGACGTCAAGACGGCGCTCGACACCGAGATCCAGACCTACCGGCGCTTGCTGGAGGGCGAGGAGGCCATGTGAGTCACGCGTCGCCAAACGTATTTCTTCCCCCGACGCTCGCTGTTCATGAGGCTGCACTGAAGGTCTCATGAGTGCGGTGGATTTTGAGAACATCGTCGCCGTCATCACCTTCCAGGTCATAAATTGGCCAGGGGAATTGTTTCGCTCCAGTTTTATTTTTTAACCCGGCATACTCATAGCCTAAGACAGTGTCGCATGGCCCTTTCATTCTCACATTGCATTCAGCCAGGCATGGTCATTTAAAACATTAAAGTGCAGCCTGTAAACACTGACCACATTGCCGTTCTCAAGAGGGAGATTTGCCTTTCCAAGCCGAGTTTGTCCTACTCCTTCACACTGTCTCGATTCTAAGAAGAGTAGAAGACAATGATACAATCATTTAATTGCATTGTCCTGTGCACCGCTGAAATATCCTTTCCAAATCATGCACCCAGGCTCCTAAATGTCGGGTCCGACAAGAGCATGAGCGCGGGCTCCACCGTTCTTTCAAGCGGGGCAAGCACCACCTTCATCTCTGGCGGCGGCGGAGGAGCAATCTTTTCCAGCAAGTCGGCAACGATACCTTCACCAGCGCTGCTGACGGGTGGCGGAGTGACCGCCGTCGCCGGCGGTGGCGGCACCGTTCTTGCTAGCGGAGGCGGCGGCGGCGGCGTTGCCATGCTTGCTGGTGGCACTGGTGCCGTCGTCGCTGGCGCAGGTGGCGTTGGTGGCACGACTGTCATCTCTGGTGGCGAAGTCACCTCGAGCAGCAGCAGCAGCATGAGCATGAGCAGCCAGCAGCAGCAGCAGCAGCAGCAGGTCGTCACCGGCATGACCGTGATCGAGGGTGGCACTGCCATGCTCGCAGGCGGCACCGTCGGTGAGGGAGGAATGGTGATGGCTGGTGCCGATGGAAGAGGGGCAGCAACCATGATGTCCGCAGGCGGCATGAGCAGCGGTGCGCAGTTCCAGCAGGCAAGCGCAGGAGCTATCATCGGAGGCACCGGCATCGCTGGCGGAAGTAAGTTACGAGCAGACTATCAGACGGCACGACGCTAACTGACGTTTGTTTGGTGTCACGCGAGAGCGGTAATACGGAATGGCACGAAGCACGTTGAGCTCACGCCATGAAAAGAATTAAGAGCACATATTCCTACTGTTCTGGTCACTTAGAAAGGCAACAGTGGAATATGCAAACAGTGAACACCACTGCATCAGATTTACATGATGACGCGCTAGTTCCTACGGTATGAACATGCGATGGTGCGTATATCATTGTGCCGAGGTCACAGGTTTTGCTGAGGTCAGCCATGCTGATACAAGCTGCAGACCATCAAAATCTGACCTTCTCCCTTGTCTTACAGGAACCATCATTGTTGATGAGTAAAGATTGCTGGAGCACATTACAGGTGATTAGGTGATATGCCGACATGATTTGTTTACAATATCATACACACATCGACTTGCACACAATAAGACATGTACAGTATGTTTGTTATGCATTGGTTCCCTAGGTCACATACATAACATATACACTTTTTTCTTTCCTACAGCTTTAATTGTGCTGGTGGCGGGAAGGTGCTATGGATGGGCAGGAAACCCTCATGCAGCAGAGTTGTCCAGCTCACGTGCCATCGCACCAATACACAGCCTAACGCTAAGATTATGCACTAATAAACGTTACGAGAAACGATCGTGGTGCTTTTTTCTGCGTGCTTTTTTTCCTTCTTCTTCACTAAAACAAAATGAGGTCAAGCGTGCACGCACATAGACCACATCCGGAACAGCGTATCCGATGACTAGGTCAACACTTTTAAAAAAAGTCTGTTTTTGCAGAATCCGAGGGCGCACAAAGGTTAGGACAAAAGGGCATGAACTCGCTGACCCATACCGTTATTTGAAATGATGTATTTTCATACGGAGTAGGTGAAAAGTCAAGTTTACAAAAACAAGTTTTGTATGATTCAGTAGTTTCTCACCCACATTACTGCGGGTTTTTTTTCCCCGCCATAGAAATACCTGTCAAACTCGTGTCGAAAACGCGATAAACAAATTAACCTCGGGGGAAGTGATATTGAGCAACTGGTAAACTCGGCAGTCGTTTTAGAAAACAACACTGAAGAATAAACAATTGTAAAATTGGCGATTGATGTTCAAAAAGGTTCAGATAACGTGTATTCATAGATCTGTATACTGCCAATTATTGTCTCATTCCCCATCTGTGCACATGCAATGAACACCCAACCCATTAGGCATTGCTGAAACATTAACGCAAATTCCACCAAGTTAGTTTCTAAATTGAGTGTCTGTGTTCACACACGCGCGCGCACACACACGTCACCCAGCCCTTGTCTTAGCCATCTCTTGCACAAAGGCTCTCATTTCTGCACCACTTCCATTTCTTGTCACACACTCTGATGGTTTTTTTCCTGTCGTGTTGGAACACAATAATAAAAAATGATTCGTCAAAATAAATGAGTTTCCACAAACCTACAGTTCTAACCAACAGGCTTACTGGATTTAAATGTAAGCCAGGTCAGAACGATGCTTTTAGGTGTTTAGTTTAGTAAAGCTATTTTCAACAATGTTAACTTTAATTCATAATTTATATACGGGTAAGGCCATGTAATACTCTGGCCATTTGGGTCTGCAAGGCTCTCCAACAGCTATGGCCCAACAAATTACATTTTCACGTATACAGGCACTTAATGCGCAGCTCACCGGTAAGTTGAAGAACGATTCACACAACCTAATGAAGCAATTAGATACGACGTTTCACGAAGCATCTTCAGAGTTCCTGAATTAGTGTCACTATATCACGGGAACAACCAATCAGATTCATCAAGATCATTCACGTGGCCTAATCCAAAACATAATTCATCATATTGCCGGAGAACACATTTGTTAAGTTAATGTTATCAATAGACATTTGATACCTACAACTCCACTCAGTAAGATTCCTGCACGAATTGCGATTGTGCGACGAGTTAATTCCATCTTCTTGGTTCTTTCGGTAAAGGCACGTAGAAGGGAATACAATAATAAAAATAAAACATAAAAAATATATAAATGTTTTATTTTTGTTATTTTATTACTTCCCTTCTACGTGACTTTACCGAAAGAACCAAGAAGATGAATCCCTGCAGTCACGAAAGCTTTAAATCGAGAGTTAATTCCATATTAAAATCGAAATTTCAATGGGATTTTATCAGGATATTTTGCCACGGGGAGAATCTGGCAATCCCGTCCACGCATTCGCTCAGGCAAGGCCTGTGGCCACGAGGATGCCCAGCACCACGATCCCTTGCCTGCATAACATTCTAGAATTGTGCTGGAGTCTGGCGAATTCTTTACATAAGGGGCCGTCCATAAATGACGTCACGCGATTTTGGACGATTTTTGACCCCCCCCTCCCCTCGTCACACGGCGTCACAAAAAGTCAGACCTCCCTCAAGTGACGTCACAAAGCTCTGACTCCCCCCCCCCCCCCAAACCATATTTCCATTTTGAAAATAAAACATGCTTCAAATCTCTTTAAACTATTGTCATTGTAGTGCGTATTTAATGTGGCGCTGCACTCTGATGTTGTAGTAGAAAACACGTATTAAAAAGGCGTTGGAAAGCTTAAATTAGCATAAAATTCACTTGACAATATTCAACGTCGAACCAAAACTGCAGATGTTCAGAATATTATATTGAACTTATCTTATAATTATAACATATTAAAATGAATTATAACTATAATAAATACTTGAAACTTTGTAGTAGAACGAAGCAAAATGGAGAGTACAATAATAACAATCATATATTCATTCCACAGAATGAAAAGCCCTGGTAGAATCATTATAATCAAAATGTTAAATAACAATCATTCAAAAAATGGTCAAAATGTATGCTCCTTCATGGAATAAATAAAAGGTGACCTTAGTAAATTTAAATAATCAAAGTTGTATTTATTATTTCCCTTCGACGTGACTTTACCGAAAGAACCAAGAATATAATAATCAAATAGTTAATAATGAAAATTAATCAAAATTAGTGTTGTTATAACAATTCTATATTTATTTAAAGTTGCGCATTTTGATGTGACGTCACATTTCTCACCCCCCCCCCCTCGTCACAAATGTCTGACCCCCCCCCCCCAGATGCGTGACGTCATTTATGGCCATACTTTTCAACGGCAATTCCATGAGGCTGCCCAGGCCAAATTGGCCCTTCTTGTTTGTTTGAACACCACATCGGGCTGTGTGCTCCCCCAAAAGACAAAGCTCCCCCATATAGCCTTTAACAGACTGTTGGGGAAAGTGCTGTTTGCAACCATCTATGAAGGCAGAAACGGCACATGAGGGGGTGGGTGGCTAGCACCACACCTGGTTGCTTTTGTCTCCCTCGTGGTCGATGTTTCCACACCACACCAGGTACTCATTTGAGGCTAAGTGGACCTAGGGAAGGCCTAGGACCGGTTGAAATAATCGTTACCGTTTGCCGCGAGCGGGAATCGAACTCGGGCAGCCGGGTTCAAAGGGCAGCGCTAACCACTGCGCCACCCAATTTCAACATTCCGTTGATTGCACAATTCCGTGAAGAAGTATATTTTATTCTAAGAATAGGATTGTGATTCCAGGTGAGGAATCAGGAGAACTGTCCAGCTCTATTTATACACCTACTAAAGCATACACAATGTAAACATATAACTTGGCGATGCACAACAAAAATCGGTGCTCTCGAATGGCTACTGCCCAAAACGTCACCGATTATAATTTCCAATGGAGATGGGTAATATCTTAACCATTTAAGCATGAATACACATTTGTCAAATTTAATACCTGAACAATGTTAATTCGATGCATAAAGGATTAATTTATTACAAGGAAAGCTATGATGTTCCATGATGGTGTTTTGAGTATTACATCATTGCGAACACTGCCTAATTACTGTAAAGTATATATTTAAGCAATGTATCTGATAATTCAACTCATTTTTGCCTTGGTGATAGGGTCTCATACCCACGACTACCATACATGTATGTTGAACTTCATACATGTTGAACTTTTTTCGCAACATCCGCAGCCAATCCGTTGGAATATTTAAGCCGAATGCTACATTTGTTGTACACTAAGGTAGTGCCCTTCAAACCCCGGTCTTGCGAGTCACGGCCGAACTCACGGGAAACAAACACAACAACCGTACAAGATGCCGACGGATTAGCCTCGCCAATGCAAAGAGAGGTCATCGTCCTGGGAGACGGACTGCACGACCGATTTGCTGACTAAATAATACATTGCCAAAGTGCAAAAACAATGTCTGTCCAAGCGGTAGAAAATACTGCGCTTAGAATCTCCGGAACAATCTCTCCAGCGGGGGGGGGCGGGGGGGGGGCTATCAGGAAAAGGGTCTTTCTCGAAGTGGCAACTCCCTGGAAGCAGAAACATCGGCGACAGTTTGACACCACTCTCAAACGGCACTCATTTCTCACGAACTCGAAATGAAATTGAATGTTTTGTGTTGTCACATTCGATTGCATTTTCTTCGTGACGCTAAGACTCACAAATGCACAAAGAAAGTCCAAACACCGACGTCCTGGATAGACTTTATTTCGAAGCAGCACACAAACTGAAGTAAAACGGGCCAAAAAAAGTCATTGCACACGTGTTATGTGACAGAAAAATAACACGATCAACAAAGACATATTTCACCAACAGACCATCATGCAGGTAGTATAATCCCATAAACAAGTGCAAGAAACGGTACTTTTAAAAAGTATCTATGTAAAATTCACAAATGATTGCAAATGACTCGCATAAAGTTCCACACGTAGAAAAGTATATCACGTGCCTGTATCTAAAATACCAGATATACTAAGATATAAATTATATACAATACATATTCCGTTTGCACATTTACAAACGCACGTATGTACTTTGTTGTTTACTCATATTTCTCTTCGTAAGAGTATTGTACCGATTGAATTTTGTTTTCATACGTTGAAAAGCAAGTGGCTCCCCACGCCTACGTTTCGTATCTTCAACCACATGCACAATGTACAACGACCGAGTTTGACTCGGAGCCGAGGACTGATGAGCCTTATCTAACAGTGAGAACGATCGCAGCAAATGTGTACGCTCCTTGACCTGGCCAAGTACCATGCCCCACCAGCAAATGCCATCTCTGCAAGCAGTTGTGTAAACTGGCTGTCCATTGGGCCACATCCGATTTGCCACGTGAACCTCGTCTCTCATTGACACAATGCACATCATCCAACGACGACAAAACATCAGTTCATAAAACATGCAGCATAAAGTCCAGACGATTAACAGCTTTAAGCTACGTATTATTATTATATTTGTTTTACACACAAAGGATATATTTAGTTTAAAAACTGATGCAGCATTTCTTAACATTAACGTAGTGATGGACACACAAGTAGTTTCACAATGTTGCCATGAGAGTACAAAAACAAAGACGAACATCCCCCGGTAGCCTGAACAGACTGTAGGGGCAAGTGCTGTTAGTGAGCACCTATGAAGGCCGGCACGGCACACGAAGGGGGTGGGGTGGCCAGCACCACGCCCAGCTGCCTTTGTCTTCCCAGTGGCAATGTTTGCACATCGCACCAGGAACTCATTTAAGGCTGAGTGGACCTAGGGGAGGCCAGGGACCAGTCAGATACTCGTCATTGGTGTTGGCCATGAGTAGGAATCGAACTCGGGTTGCTGGGTTCGTGGCAGGCTAACCACTACACTAGCACACTTAGTCATATGCGATACAGATGTGCATAGTTTGCACGCAGATTGAACCTCCCTCGTTTGAATCATGTGGCAAGTGCTTTGCTAGTGCTGATCAATGGACAAATGTTAATTAACAGTGGGACCAGCTGTAAAAGCGTCCAAGCTGTTGAATATCCACGCTTTTATTTGAAATGTGCATTGTATCGAGAAATGTTTTACATATACAGGATTGTTAACACCACACAAACTTTTAAAAGTGTATTTTCCTTCATTTTACACGTGGCTGTCCTATTGTTGGATGTGATAACACCAGCTGACTTTCCAGTTCTTTACCACAGAGTAAAATGCCTGTCATTTTTAGATGATGTAGGTTTCATTCTCCAAGGGTCACACGAAATGGATAAAATGACAGTATGGAAAAATACGTATCCCCTGTTATTGCGGAGACTCTGGTATATTGAAGAGCAACAGCATGAAGGTCGCCCATATGCGCTTAAAATAATTATCCCATAAGCCGATTCTCCCATTTCTACACGGGCGTTGACATACAGAAATGCCTAAAATGCTACCTCAGGGGTCGACAAACAAAATAACAAGGGACTTTTTTTTCGAATTCGGGAAAAAAAGACCTAATTATTTCAAGAACCACAATGCATGCAACTAACGCAAAGAAGAAATCCTCAAAGAGCCGCACGCGGCTCTGGAGCCGCTGGTTGCCGACCCCTGCGCTAACCGAACGAATCCAGTGAATGCAATTGCAGGAAGCCACAAGTCAAGGTGGGAAAAAGATGTTAAAATTGTAATTGCACATACGACTGCGTTTGTGACAACAACATGTTAAAATTAAACCATGGGCCAAGCCCCAATGCGAACGCAAACATATGGCAAGAGGAAGATAAAGAGATCGTTTAAAACAACCTGGTTCGTCGCGAGCACGGGGAAACATGCGGTGCGTGGATGTTGAATACTTAAGCAGGTGGTCTCTTCTTCGGCCGATGGCGCTCATCAGGGCTCCGTCTCGTCAGTGCCATCGTACATGAGCGTTTTGCTGACCGTCAAGTGGTATGACACCTTCTTCCCGTAAAATCTGAGGCGGGAATTTTTTGGTTTGTTAAATCAGGCATTGAGAAGCATGTGGTCAGTGCCCGACGCCAGCAGGAAGATGTGCGCCTGCAAATTTTAATTGCTGCAGGGGGCCCAATTGTGTGGTTTTAAAGGATGACATCAGCTGCGACTAACACCTGGAACCACAGCTTGCGTCTAAAAGATGAAAACGCTGTTTGAATAGCGCGGGGGGGATAAATGTTTCACTCCATAACAAATGCAAAGTAGGCTTTATTATTCACTGCTGGTTACAACCGGCTACTTTTAGTGAAACGGGTCATACAATTACCACACATTTTATATCTCTTATAATTAACTCGGTTGTATTTGTAACAAAAAAAAGATTTCGTCTCATTGGGCTTTTCTCGTGGGTCATACGAAGGCCACTCATTCACGGGCTGCACGTACTAATCACAGAGTTCGTGTTGCTCACTTTTCCACCGCTTATCCTGTAGTGGCGGGAAAGCCGTGCAGGGACTTACCGTGAAAAGCTGTTGTCGAATATCAGCAGATAAAGGCCAGGCCTCCTCGCCTTCAGCTGGCCTTGGAACCAGCTGCAGGTGCGAATTGCAGCGCGTCAGCGGAATCAGCACCTGCAGATGCGCACGCCAAACGCTTAGCACACGACGCAAATCTGTCACTCTTCGCCCCTCTTCCGTTTCACGTGACGCTTTGTTTTTTAAGTGCCAAGGGGGCAGCCAAGGAGGCTCAGCAGTCTGTCACGATTTTCTTTCGCATTAAAACTCCCCACCTCGAACGTGCAATCAACAGTGTTTCGTATCGTGTTGCCCAAAATGCCTGGAGAATACAAAAGATAAAGATGTGTGAAAGATAAAACCACAGTCTTAACAATCTATGCGACATATTATTGGTTCATTCGGTAAAGTCACGTAGAAGGAAAATAATAAAACAATAAAATTATCACGACGTTTCGATTGCAACACAAGCGAAACGTTGTGAGAATTTTATTGTTTTATTTTTATTATTTCCCTTCGACGTGACTTTCTCGAAAGAACCAGGAATATGAATCCCTGCAGTCACGAAAGCTTTAAATCGAAATCTATGCGTCACTTAAAAAAAACACATGTTGGTGTTGGACTATTTTCACTCCTAAGACAATCCTGATCCAGCAGTGGAAATTACATTTATTTAAGTCATATTTAATCCGTAGAAGATAACACAATATGCTTGTTAGTTGGTGCTCATTTAACCAATGCCAGGGTTGTAACTTCATTTGTAATTGTACTACGATCAGTCTAAAAATGAATGTGCCCGAGCCGACCTGCGCTATCGCGTTGATTCTATGTTTGCACAATATCTGCGAGTTCTCATGTGACAGTTGTTTTTTGAGACACGGTTGATTTATACTTGTTTTACTTCATTTCACTTGTTTATATTTTGTCACTTTGGTGACCCAAGTCCTCCTTACAAACGCGATGAACCTGGCCTCTTGAGCTCTCACTTGGCTGAACAAAATAAAACTTTAAACTTGGATTTTAATCAATCACATTTTATATAAATATGCTTTCCTGTTGTAAACGGAATAAAAAAACAATTGTAAAACTGCATTTTCCAAGACAGGACCACGTGGAGGCGTGACATTCCAGGTTTGTTTAGCAAAAGTAAAAAGAAGGTTTGTGACAGTGCCAAGATAATGAAAGTAGCTGTAGTGGTCACACATCTATAAATGATGTTTGCTTTTAGTAAACGTTTACTTTGAGTAAATCCACAATGATACAGTATAAGAACATTTGTTGACATGACTTCTCTGATTATATTATCTTACAAGCCAGAAGATGCAATAAGCTGCCTTCAAAGCTGCTTGTCAACTGAAGTAAAATTATGGTTTCTTTTTCCAAATATAACTCTGTCTCAAAAACCAATTAAGCTGTAGTGTTATTTTACATATTTAATGACAGATCAATGCTAGTTACATTGAACATGTGTATGCTGTTACAGGTCATGAAAATCCACCACGTTAAATGATGAGTGCACCTTATGAGAAAGACCAATGTGTCTTCCCTCGGGCCAATCGAGGAGACGTTGCAACAATATTTTGGCCAATAATTTTGAACAGACTTAAAAGTTGCAGAACTACACAAAACGTTGTTGGCACATCGTTGCAGTCCATGAAACGTGCAAAAAAAAAACTGCCAAAAATGTGACAATAAACATGACTGCATGACGCACCATCAGGCAGCCGCCTGTGGTTGCGACAGAGTTCCGTATAGACTTTATATATATATATGACTGGTTGGTCAAGACTGCGACAGCCAAACAAACGGAGCAAGTCGAAGAGGATGTGTCTACTGTGGAGATCGAGCAATGAATTCAGCTCGTCTGCAACGGCTAGATTGATTGCGGCATCGCAAGATCCGTAAGAGATGGGGGGGGGGCACAGCGTGGGAAGGCCTAGGTCGATCACTGCATCGATCGTGGATAAAGATCGTGTGAATGAGTTCAACGTTGTTTGGTCCCACAAAAATGTTTGTTAACCTTTTGACATCAATCCTGTGGTGGAAAGTAGCTTACTCAGAAGTGTGATTCATGTCTCCAGCCTGAACACAGCTGCATGCAAAACTCTTACGAGGTGGTGTGGGAGCCTTGTGAATTACAGCGATTAAATCACTGATACACAATGGAATATGTGCATTGAGCTACATAATTTTTGCAGATATAATATCAGTATCTATATTGTTGTCACATGTATATACAGTTGTTTAACCGAAACATCATTATGTGCAACTTCTGTTATCCAGTCGGGTAAGGATGTGTTATCGATTTTCAGAAACCAGAAATGTTTTGAAAAAAGTATTTTAAAAATTACATTTAAATGACTGTTTTACTGATGGAAGTTTACATTAAAAATAATTAATGATACATGATTAAAATTATTCCATTGTGCGAACAATTAAAATTATGCGAGTCTAAATCTGAAAACCCTGAATGAAATCTAAAAGTGGCCCTTAAAAATGTAAACAATAATTACAAAACTCATCCCGAGAGCTGTGAATGCCTCCCTCTCCCTTATTGGTCTCTGCATAAATAATTTTAGTAGTTCTTTTTGTTTGTTCCACATCCTACCGGCCCAAACAACCCTCTATAAGGGGGGTGCATTTTTTTTCCCAACAGCACAATTCGGTTCAACACAATGACTAGCCTCGGACACCATCGAGTGGCGCGCGTCTGTGCCAACGCAGGTTGCTCCGTACCACGGAACTCTCCACGGGCTGCTCGGGCCCGTCACGCCACACCACGCTGAAAGACACATTGCGGCTCTCGGAAGAGAACTCCCAGGCCAGGCTGAGGCCGCTCTCGGTCACGTTCATCGTGATGACCGCGTAGGCCCCCGCTTTGACGTGCAGCTCGCGCCGGAACTCGCCGAAGCAACGCACATCCTCGGGACTCAGGGGCACATGAAACCTTGGAGGAGGGGGACGAAAGATGCAAGTTCTTCATGAAGGTTCCTTGACCCCTTTGCCGTGTTGACCTCGTGCAATTTAGTGCCACCCATGCGGTGGCCTGCGCGCTGGCACGAGGCCTTCGACGCGCCCGCGAGAAGTGTTACAATCAACGCAACCTTCAACATAAAGGCCACATGCCATTCTTACGTTCCATTATTATTAGTCACGTTCATTGTGGGCAATGACTTGGTGATTAAACAAGGGTCCGGTTCCACGACGTAAATACAAAATAAAATCCATCAGCCTTTGGACCTTTTCGCCTAATGCAGTTGTGCAAGAATCTATTCAAGTTTCATTCATTAGGTATATCCCTGTGAGCCATGCAGCAAATCTTACAGAAAAAAAAACCACCGTATTACAACGGCTGTGTGCAAAAATCCCAGTGTGATGCAAGACAAACAACAACGACCATAAGACAACCCAGATTCAAGTTATTAGGCCAATTCCGCACTTCCGCAAAAACATGGCTCAACCGTATGCCTTCGAAATCACCAAAATAAAGCTACAAAATACAATGTAAAAACAGCAATCATAGGAACTTTGATTCAAATTTAACAATAAACGAAAAACATAACATGTACGACCAAACTTGCAGCCATATCTGGCAGCATGACACTCCCAGTGTATGATGTGTGAGTGAGTCAGTGTAAAATGAGTGAGTGCATCGTGGCCTCCTCCCCGCCATCACGGCCTCCTCCACGCCATCGCGACCTCTGAAGCTTTATAAACTTTACATGCTATTGCAGGCCCTTGTATTCGAGCCAATAGATTCTAGTTAAAATAACCCAATGATCAAATGAAACGGAATATACTAGACTTACAACTTTAATGTATTTAGCAACTAAAAAGGGACGAAGCAAGTGGGCAGCTGACACAAGAGCCATGTGGCATTGCGGCGTCACAGCCATGCCCGACAACTATTTAACGATTTACTATATTTTTTTCAAGATCAATCAATTAATCTTATTTTAAGCGGTAAAATTGCCCTAGATAAAGTAGGTAAGGCCCACTGAGCCATATATCCTTTGTTCAGAAGTGACCCGGTCACGAATGATAGCTCAATAAGTCGGATGACCTTGTGGCAATGTATCGTAGCCAAATTTTTTAGACACGTTTCTAAATGTGGATGGAAAACCGGTGGACCCTGAGAAAAATCCATGTGACCACAGGGAGAGCATGCAAACTCCAAATATACTGGCATCAGGGTCGGAACTGAACCCATGAGCTCCTGTATAGCAGGCGAGGTAGTTAACATTGCCACCGAGGCATCCCGATAAGACCAGGGCAGGAGCCAGGAGCGAGACCAACGTCAACGTAGCGAGAGCAAAAGTTTGACAGCACAGCCTGGGATTAGCGATGAGCAAAACTTACATTACCAGGCTTGTGCACAAACAATAGTTATACTTCCCCATGCGTTGTCAGGGGGCCTATTTAATTTTACCAACTAAGCAAACTATACCAAGTGCGCACCTTCACATGCAATGACTCAACACGACCTAGGATAATTAAATGTCAAGTGTGATTTCATCTTTCCACATTTTCATGAAAGTTCAGCAGAGTTCACGCCAAGGCCAGCAGAGGAATGTTGGTGTGTGCAAGAAAATGTCATCCGATTCACAAACCCAATTCTCTTAAATAAACCGTACCTAAACTCATCTTCTTTGTTCTTTCGGTAAAGTCACGTAGAAGGGAAATAATAAAATAATAAAAATAAACCATAATAAAATACAATTCTCACTAGAAATCTCACTAAAAAATTGTATTTTATTATGTTAAATTTTTATTATTTTATTATTTCCCTTCTGCGTGACTTTACCGAAAGAACCAAGAAGATGAATCCCTGCAGTCACGAAAGCTTTAAATCGAAATTTGTACCTAAACTGTCCTGTTAATGTCAATGTGTTTACTGACACCAGTGAAAGCAGCACCTTGAGATATTGCTGGCATGCTCAAACCGTCAATTGTATTACATTTTACACACCCTCAAATCAAACGCAAGTGCAAAATGTTATTTACATAAAATTAATTCTTAATTACCCAATAACCAAACCACAAGTGTGTGCCGATGTCATCATATCTCACAAGATAAGCAAGTTTCAGCCTGGATAGTATTGACCACCATGCACAAATCGCGCGTCGTGGGCTGCCACGGAGCGAAGTTTATCAGCCGACCGCAATGCAGGGAGTAGAGATGCACCTGCATGACCAGCATGGTGAAGTATGGCGTTGGGAGGCTCTCTTCAACAAGTGTTTCACAAATAGAGCTGTACGTTTATAAATTAAATAGTTCTTGTAAGCACTCAACTTTAACTTGGGAACATTTATATGCCAGCATTATGAACCCTCAACATAATAAGTCTAACAAATATTAATTGATACATATACTCCTGACATGTCGGTGCATTCAATGTGCAATTACAGTAACCGAGTCCAGCAAATGGCTGGGCAATGTCTTTAGATTTGGTTCATAAATTACAAAGCCTCTCATGAACAAGTTTACCTAAAGCATTTGCACAAAAGATGTGTGATCGCACATCATTCCTGACATTTGAAAACCAGATGCAGATGAAAGCTACTGCCTTCTTCTTGTGAATTCGGATGAAAGTAACTACAACTACTGTCATGCAGTGGCCACTTTGACGATCACGGAACGCGGAATGCACTGCTCACGAAGGGTCGCTGTTCTTGAGAAGCAGAACCTCTGGTTCCAAGGCCAAGGGGGCAGGCGGGGACTCTTCCGCTGCGCGATCTATTGAGACACTGCGTACAAGGGACAAGAATGAAAACTCGTTATAGTTCACTAAAGGCGCCAAAGCCCGTTACGGTGACTTCCATCATCATCATCAACAATGTGGACGTTCCAAGATGGAAAATCAATAGTCTCGGGCTGAATTGTGATGTCACATGTGCGTGCGTGGGTGTGTTTGCACACAAGTTAACAACTAAACCAGTATCATGTTTTCAATCACCAGCTGCATCCTCTTAGACTTCCCATGTATATATATATATATATTTTACACATTTACAAAAACAGTGTGAAGCTGTTTATTAATTGCATAGGATACCTGGAATAACAATTTCCTTATTTTGCAAAGGGAAGTTATGAATTGTATAGCTATGAGAAGTGGTGGACTTTCAATGTTTGTAAATGAAAGTAATCGCATGTTTTGAACATTAGAGATTCGTTGTTGGGGTAGAGACACGCCATGGGCTCCTGGAAGTAAGACACACCCCAAATATATGCTTGGCGTCACTAAACTTGTCCAAATCTGGTGACACACGCACACACCTTCCAGATAATAATTACAAGACGAATCCCCAACTTTTTATTTAAAATACAGGGGGGGGCGGGGGGGAAGCTGCGTCTCAATCTGGAGAATACGGTGCTGTCTATAAAAAACAATGTGGTGCTTTGCAAATATCCACAAACATTCTCCCATATTGAAACAATACGTTTCAGATGCGCCATGGTGAGTGGGAAATCTAGACAAGTGCTATAAAACGTAGAGATGAACTGTAGTTTAAACTGTTGGATGTTCTTTAAATGGTCAAAAGGTTCATCATCACGAGTCATGGGCAGATTAGCCCTTAGGTGTCCACTGCACATTTTGTCATTGTTTCCACTTTCCTCTGTCTTGTGTCAATATGCTCAAGTAATGGCCACATCTGACACCAATCTCTGATGTCGTTGTCAAGTCATTCTCTGTGAAGTCTCCCACTTTTTCCGGTTCCTTCCATTTTTCCAAACAACAAACGCACTTTTAATTTTCCTGTTGTCTGTCCTGTGTGTCCAAATAGTGCAGGTTTCCTTCTCATCACTGCCTGCATCAGGTCTTCTTCTGTGTTCAGAAAACCAATTAAGTCAACACCAAGGGAGTTTTTTTTCATCCCCGTGGGAAGATCATATGAATGTGCAACAATGGCTGCAGTGAGCGCCGATTGAAAAGGATGACACCTCAACCTTTGCACTCATGGCAATTCTCAAAACGGACAAAAAAATCACGCACAAGCATGGATTTTACAACGCTTTCCAAAATGAATGTCCTCGGAAGTAATAGAAAATTTTTAGAGAACATACGCAGAATAATTACATTATTCAAATTGTTTAGAAAAGTGCGCTTGGGCAGGACATGACGCTAGGAGAGATGATGGCCAATGATAAAAAAAAATTATGAATCACAGCAGAGGCGACATAGCGAACGTGTCCAGGAGTACGACACCTGGGGAGAATGAGCATTGAAATCAGCTTGTGTACAGGCGTCGGGATGTATTTCAACAGCGCACACATATGTGAGATATGGCCACGGATTGGGAAAGCCTCCGACCAGCAGTGGACTGATCATGGATGGTGATGAATAACATTTGTGTTCGAGGTGGATAAGGAGACGATATCACAGTTAACGTCTTGAGATCACGTCATTTGTATTGAGCTTGTATTGTATTGAGCTGGCACGACATGTAACGTCATCGACCACGGGAAAACGGATAAGCGTTTAATACATATCAACTCTTGCTAGTTTCATATATATATAGTCCCTAATAGCAACCCAACCATTGTTTACTTTATAATGGATTATCTTGGTGGGAGTTAAAATTACCTCTCGTTACAGAGACAGACAGACGTAAGGCCAGATGGACGGAGCTAACGCGCGCTGGCGATGTCTAGCTCAGTTTGAAAGCGTAAAAAGAAATGCACGCAATCGTGCTCGCACTGACTCACAGACGGGCGCGTGCTGCTTGTGCCCACTACACACGCGCGTGCAAAAAAAAAACCCCAAAGCACTCTCATGCGTCAATGCGGTAAGTAAATTAACTGTTCACAACTCCTGGAAGTCCAAAGACCTGTGCACGTGGCAACTAATTTCCAAGTGCGACGTTGCCACCATTAAGCACAGAGCACGCGACTGAACGTACGTTTTAATCAGATAAACATTAATGAAAAACGCTTGCTCGGAAATGTTGTTTTTTGTAGGATTCAAACTAATGTATGTCTTTTATTAATATAGACATTGTAAAGTAACTTCCTCAACTCATCTTGAGCACGATTTGAGCCTTTTTCATGTTACTCAATTTCCTGTATGTCATTCCATTAGTTACTCTTTGGTTATTTTGGTAAAGTCTCGTAGAAAATAAATAAATTAAATAATAGAATACGACGTTTCGATTGCAACACAAGCAATCGTCATCAGGTAGAAAACAAACATAGTTGTTCTATCGACTACATGATCCGCAAATCTGAGATGGTTAATAATTATTTATTAGTGTTTATGCCTCTGTTTCTACGATTATATTTTCAGAAACCATCTTCCAAAATGACAGCATATCTTCCTGCCGATATGCATTTATCAGTCTAAAAGTAATTACTTCATTATTCATCTCCAGATGCATATATCTGTCTTATAACCGGCTTGCCTTTGTGATGGTTCGCCTCTAAATTGTCCAATACAATATCCTGTTCCCAATAAAGTTTGAAAACAATGTGTGTGATCATGAAGATTTTTTTTTAGTTTTGACCAACAATTTACCTAAACAAATTAATAAACAATTGCTGTATTCTCCAGATTATAAAGACACACAATTTTCCATGTATTTTAAAGCAAAGGTTGGGGATGCATCTTGTAACTCGGTAGGTGTTTATGATTTGTAGTTTAATTGGCACCGGGCACAAATATGGGTTGTGTATTACTAGCCGGGCCATTCTATGTGGAGAATATTATTGTACATGAATTGGCAACATGGGCATTTCGAAAAGAACAAAAGCTCAAATTTAGACAAAGAACCGTCGGGAGAGGTGGAAACCTGGAATTAGACCGAGAGGTGAAGATAAACACACAGACAACATATATAAGGAGACATCATACTTCGTGTGGCGATGTCAAGCTCAGTTGGAAAGTGTAAAAAGAAGTTTGTTGTAGTACGGAGTTAGACCGATGGCCTTAATCTAAGTTGTCTTGTGGTTGTTGTTTGACTTGCATCCCACTGGGATTTTTGCACACAGCATTGGTGTACGGTATTTTTTCTGCAATATTTTGCCATTTTATTCCTGGATTTTCTGTTTGCACATCGTCACATAGTCACGTTAAGATGTTTTCTTGTTCATGTTTTTGTTTTTGTTTGTTGCGGTTGCACCCGGATTCAAGGGCCGAATAGCTCACAAGGTTATATCAAATAAATGAAATGAAAACATTCAACCATTTCTATTTACAAACTGCATACATTTAAAAAAAAATGTGTCCAGGAACTCTTCTTGCACAACTGTAATACTTCTGATACCAACCACAGCCATGAGCCACAAGACTTGAGCCACAAGACTTAAGCCACGCAAATGGCACACAGGTGTTCTCACACGGTTTCTATGCAACCGAAGAAACAGGCGGCAAACATTGCGAAAACATGTTTTTGTTTACAGGTTATCGGTTGTGCTGGGGAACTCAAATTTTGCACCGCCCTGATATCAACGACAATTAATGTTACGTGGCATCACTCATGCAACTGCATCGAAACAATGCTGAACAATAATCACAAATTGACATCAAAGCAGCCAAACCCCAAAGAAGGAACCCGTGAACAAAACTATTACGTACAGAAATCAACAAATAAAAACAATTGACGGGGAGGTGAATTCTCAACTCCTCACACCAGCCAGGGAACTGATTGACCGATTTACAACGTTGGTAATAATGCATAATGGTTAAGGGTGAAACAATAAAGTATCAAAATCTGAATCTTTATGCAGACTGGAGGAATCCAGACTAAGTAAATGATATAGGTGTAAAGGATGTAGCCGAGGAGGTGATTTTTTTCTTTCAGATCTTAAATAATCAGTCACGCCTCTATCATTCACCAGGGAGGAGAGATCCCAGCATGGAGGTGTAGGTAAAAAAAGAACGGTAAGTCACAAATCGGGCCGTAACGGCTAATAACACTTTTCACAACGACCTGTGTGGACTACATGGGAGATGTGTAAACAGATAAACCCTCAATTATAAATAATTCCTTACTTAATTATTCAGAAAAGCCAGGGAGGGTCGTGCCTTTGGGTCATCATTTCACGATGTTTTCAGGCAACTTTCGACGAGTGTTTGTACAAGTCGGAGGAAACCGGAGCACCCAGAGAAAAACGCGCACGTGCGAGGGCAGCAACACCCGATCCCCATAAAGATAGTAAAGGAAGCCCATGAGCTCACTTGCTGTACTACCTTTTGCTGGCGAGCCAGGGTATGGAGGAACCACCTTGACGCCCACGGCAAGAGGAGTGTCACAACATTTGTGCGAACCAGCAACCCTCGCTTCCCCCCCCCCCCCCAGTGCTGGACTATAGGCCGCGTGCATCGCCACCACTTCATGGCAGTGTCTCTGCGTGTGAAACACGCGACTCGGGCTTCCCAAACCTGGCACCCCCCCTGCATTGGTGGAAGATGAAGCCAGAGCGATGCACTTGACACAACATGAGTGGAGAGACTTGTGCACCGGCGTTATTGTGGCATGCACGCTCGTACAAATATTTATCGTAATGTGCTTGCAGTTTAATACCAATGTTCTTAGGTTTCTTCGGTAAAGTCACGTAGGTAAAACATTAAAAAGTAAAATAAAATAAAAATCACGACGTTTCGGAGGCAACACAAGCTTCCGTCCTCAGGTGGGACCGTCACAGCCACGACAGCTGTATCAAGTAAATGAGAGCTGTATGAAGTAAATGCAATCTCTCATTTACTTGATACAGCTGTCGTGGCTGTGACGGTCCCACCTGAGGACGGAAGCTTGTGTTGCCTCCGAAACGTCGTGATTTTTATTTTATTTTACTTTTTAATGTTTTACCTACGTGACTTTACCGAAAAAACCTAAGAATATGAATCCTTGCAGTCACGAAAGCTTCAAATCTAGAATTTATACCAATGGTCGGCTGTTTATTCTGTATTCAGGTGGCACAGTGGTGAAGTGGTTCAGGCAATGAACTATGAAGCTGCCAAGTTCGATTTTTGTCCATAGCTAACAACTGTTGGTTGTGCTCATTACTAGAAGGTCACGCTCATTACACACAAAGTGCCTGCCACAAATGAACCACAATACCTTTACTGATCTCGTCAAGGAGCATAACCCCATCACGCAAACTCCGGTCATCCTCGGAGCAGCGGCTTTTGGCGAATCATCGAACAAAGACGGTCACTGCATTACGCGCTTTCAGATGCGTTTCTGCTGCTGCTGCTGCCTGGAACGCTCTTTCCTTCCGATACTAGGAAACCACTGGAGCCTGTGCACTTTGAAATCTTAATTGAAAATAATTCCTTTTCAACTGCTTTTTGTGTTTGTATGTACAGTGAACTTCTTTTGCACCGTACGTAGCCAACCTTCCCGCGCACCTCTGCTGAGCACAGAAGTTCAACATACATACAACAGTGGCAAGTAGTATTCAAACCGGCCACAGCACCCCGCTTGCCACCCACAAAGGCTGACCGGAGTGGTGAGGTATGGAAAAACAACCACAACGAGCAGTAAAAGGCTTGCCGGGAGGCCTTCATACAGAAATGGATAGACAAAGGGTTGCAAAAGCTACAATAACCATTACATTTTACGTGAGAATACATTTAAGAATGTCATCCAAGTGAGAGTGCAGAAGAATTTAACAATCATCAAAAGCCACGCACGTTTGTGTACACCTTTGCGGTTGTGTAAAATAATCTACATTTCACATACCACAGTCATGGGCATGAGTCCACTAACCGCAGAGCCAAGATTGGCACACTCAAGACCTTGTACAGGTTAGTGGTGCAAAATCTGTACGCAGGAACAATTACACACACCAACAGCGGAGCTAAACATTAAGGCTTTTGGCAACATCAAAATAAAGCAGCTAACGGATCATGCATCAGTTTTGAAAGTGTAGAGAGCTGCTATAAGAAATATAAAACTTAGAATTTACACGTACAGAATTATACTTTAAGAATCAGCCATATATAGTTCAGTAGCAATAATAACATTTGATCTCCTCTGTCAATGCATGCGATGCTTCAGGGATAATATGTTCATAGGCCATGAAATTTGTTTTAAATTGGGTAAAACCTTACAAGGCATTGTTCCATTAGAATCAGTGTGGTTCAATCCCACTGTGCATCCTTAATCCTTAATTTATGTGAGTAAATTCGAATAGTTTTAAACACGCATGCAAAATATGAAAGAATGTTATATGTAAATGTATGGTTACGGCATCAGTTTTTGTTATTCACGTAAATTTACGTTGACATGTTCTAAAAATATAGCAGTGGTAGTACACCATTGTACCGAATTTTAAATCATGCATACATTAACGAAATTGAAAATTATAGCACTAACAAAGACACAAAATTAATTTAAAATTGAAAACCAAACCCTTTTCACAATCACAAAAAAACTAAAAGCCTTAATTTTTTTTATTAATTACAAACCACACCTCCAAAGTTCTCAATCCTTATCCAGAAGGTTCCCTTTTTACCCCAACTCCTGGTTACATTTCTGCTGTGGCTAGATAGAGAACTGAGTGCCACAGGTTCCTGCTGATAAACCAACAATTTGGTACTGCTTGCACTGTGCATCCTGCCTAAGACCCTCCCAGATCATTTAAAAAGCCAGCCTGCACCGTGGGAAACACGTCTTTTCATGGAAAGACTGCCCAAGGCAAAAGGTGTTGAATACTTGGCCAAGTACTGGTAAGATTTTTATGAAAAGGATGCTTTATTGTGATTGATAAACATTTGAAATGTGATCATTACTGTGTGCATTGTAAGCTTAATACAATAACAAATTAATGGGCATCTGATACAGGGATATAGAAATTAAAGTAACCTCGCCTTAACCCCAATACTAAACATCTACAAGGATGAATTAGATGTAACTTTTGCATAATTCAACGTAAATTAAATGTATGTGGAAATTACAGTATTTACATTTTTGGGGGGGAATTTGACTTTTTACCGGATCTGTTGCGATGTGCGGTAAAACCCAGAGTGGCACGTCGCGAATGACCAAATGTAATTTCAGTCGGGGTAAAAAAGTGTACACCACTGGATGTATGGCACTTTGAGATCACCAATTTTAAAGGCGCTTTATAAAAACGAGTATATTGTTATATTAACGGCAGCCCAGGTGGTCACATGGCCAACGGTGGCACGCGTTCCCGGCTTGCTCTCACTGTGCAGGTTGACGCTTCGAATCCAAGAGCCGTTGTGGTCACGAATGCGGTTACATCGAGCCTAAAAATACGAGGTGCGCCGCCAGCTTCACGGCGCAGATTAAAGAGATCCCATCATTTTTCGATTTAAAGCTTTCGTGACAGCAGGGATTTATCTTCTTGGTTCTTTCGGTAAAGTCACGTAGAAGGGAAATAATAAAATACTAAAAATAAAACATAATAAAATAATTCTCACGACGTTTCGGCCACAACGCAAGCAGCCGTCCTCAGGTGAACAACAGGTCTGTCGGAAAGACAGTGTCAGACACTGAAGAACAGGTCTGTCGGAAAGACAGTGTCTCAGACACTCTCTTTCCGACAGACCTGTTCTTCACCTGAGGACGGCTGCTTGCGTTGTGGCCAAAACGTCGTGAGAATTATTTTATTATGTTTTATTTTTATTATTTTATTATTTCCCTTCTACGTGACTTTACCGAAAGAACCAAGAAGATGAAAGATCCCATCATGCCAGCGTAATGGTCCGTATTCGAAAAGTGCGAGATACACTTGATTGGCATTGCAGTATTCCCTCGTTATTCGCGAGAGATATGTTCTGGAGATGCTCAAGAATATTAAATTTCGTGGATAACGACATCGGCTCTACGAATATCGTACACGCGCCAACGTCCGCAGATGCCTCCGAAAGCTTCGAGAAGTTCTTTCTCCATCTCTCTCATCATGTTCTCTTTCTCGATGCAGTCGTGTCGAGTTCCAAATGCGACTCAAGGAGAGCCAAAAATCGCAGACAGAAAGTTTGTGACTAACGAGGGAATTCTGAACTGTGAAAACTTGCCAGAACCCTCTGGGAAATGAGTCGTGAGACTGAGGTTTCTATGGATAAATAAGCATAGTAATAAGTGAATTTAACAAAGAATATTTAATCCTGATAGTTACATATTTAGCTGTGCCTTCATGCCCAAAAGTGTCTTCTTACATAAATGTCCCTATGTATTTGTTAAGTTTCACATTTTCACGGAACTTCTACAGTATAAACATTTACAAATTATTCAGCTAACATTTGGTATATTTTTTACTAAAGCTAAATGTACGACTTTCTTGATGAACCACATCATATGCGATAAGCAAAGCTAATAATAAATTGCCACAGTAAGTGTGCGGATATTCCACTGCATCACAGCGAGTTAAACAGTGAGTAATGTCCAAGGCTGCCACATTACCATATATGACTTTGAAACGCAGCTGTATTTGTTCTGGAGAACTTGAATCACAATTCCGAGTAAGTCACTTTCTACCACAGGATTGAGGTCAAAAGTTCAACAATCAATTGTGGGACCAACGTTTTGGGATTCATTGCATCATCACCATCCATGATCAATCCACTGCTGGATTAAAATCTCCCCAAGATGTTGTCATCTTTCACGGTCCTGCAATGTAACAATCAATCGAGTACATGCACATGAGCAGATCTAATTTCTCCATCATGTTGGAATGTACCTTTTTGTATCTTCTCTGCGATAGACACCATTCCACCGTCAGCCTTAACCACCAACCATCATCCCTTCTGAAAACATGCTGTGTCCAAGCCCACTTACCCGTTCTGATAGTTAACTATTATCTTTTTATTTAAAGCTTTCGTGACTTGGTTCTTTCGGTAAAGTCACGTAGAAGGGAAATAATAATATAAATATAAAACAATAAAAATATATATTAATATTATTTTATTATTTCCCTTCTATGTGACTTTACCGAAAGAACTAACTATATTATCTTTAACTTGCATATGTTCTTTAATCCCCAGGTGCACCTCTTCCTGTCTGTCAGTGCATTCCAAACACGCACCACTACGCTTATGTGCAGACATCCAAGCTTTCATTTGTCAATCAAACGTTCTTCTTCAGGTCCACTTGTACGTTGCTTACTATTATTAAGTTCAGTTTTCCAAAAGCACTGCTATCTCGTGCCTCTCTACTTAATCGTTTGGTGGCGATCCATCTTCATTGCTTAGCACAGGTATACACACTGACATTTTCCAGTAGTGTCCCTCTGATAAATCTCAAATTCTTAGAAAAACTTGCTGTACATGTTGTTAATCTTGCTCATAATTATCTATAGACAATGTCCTGCCTTCTTTATGAAGTTCAATCGTGTCCAGTGAATTGGAGATACAAAAGCATAACTACAATTGGAGAAAATGTTACCCAATTCAGATTTGCCAATGACAGTCTTTACTACGACCAATGAGAAAGAACGATGAAATGTGTTTAGCATCACGGCACCCTCACGGCATGGATATACATGCCCTGGTAATTATTTGGACAGCCGTATTTAAACACACCATATAATAGTGGCACGATATGATACTCTTGCAGATGCCAACTGGCGGTACAAGACTGCAGAAGAGATTTTGAAGATTTAACCGCGATCGGAGACTGCAATGGGGGTGATTATTTTTGTTACTGCACATTATTTTTACACGCACATAATACTGAAGATGTACTGCTGTATTGACGAAGATCGGTGAAATCATTAAAGCTAAGTTACTGCATTACAGCTAATCAACATACTGCTAAAATCATGATTGCCACATGTATCTAAACGGCAAATTATAAAGTCGTTTATGCTCAGACTCATCTTTCACGCGTCCCACATTCATCTCACACTAATCCTCCGACATGATCCACACATCTGGAGCATTTTACAAGAGGCAAATGGAATACAGTGAATTGTGATCTTGCATACATTGTGGGTTTTTAAATGCCGATGAGAAACATCAGCTTATAAATTAACTAATATGTTTCAATGATGTAGCTAACAAGCGGCATTTCTGGCTTAACGACTAAAGTTGTTTGTGCAATGTTTTCTCCCCTGAAAAATGTGCCAAGGTCTTTATCAGCAAACAATTATTCAAATCGCCAAGGCGAGGTGTTTCAGCCTTTTCATCAAGATGTGAATTGGGCCTTTTGTTGTAAACATTTCAAAAAGGGACTCATGTGGCAGAATAGCAGTACGTTCCCATTAAAAAAGTGACTTTCACTCCTATTGAAATTCATAAATAGGATGAATCACTCATTCCGTATCCATTGCCTCTCAAGTGTTGCCATTGAAAACACATCACCACGTAGCCTGGCACTGGAAGTGCGCACACCTCTAATCCAGCACTGTGGAGGCAAGGGTTGGTGGTTGCCTTACCATGGGTGCCGAGGTGCCATACCCTGGGGCTTGCCGAGAGAATGATGGAACACAGCAAAGCGCAGACTAACACAATTTGTCCCTTCTGTATGGGACGAGAGGTTGCGCCCCACACGCCACAGATTCTCTCCGAGTGCTCTGGTTTCCTCCCACATGCATATATAAATATCAGAGAATCAGAATATTTATTTATACAGGAACCGATGAGCTATAAAGGTCTTTTTCGCAATTATCAAGTAGATGAATTGGCCGATAATAGCTTGATATATAGTGGACTGCAGAGCTTTGGCGATTGTTGGCGCCAGCTCACCATCTCGTTCCCCTCCAGTTTGTGTGGTCCTGAAGCAATTGTGAGATGCAATGTGTGAACGACGATGCTATATGAAACCAACCATTATGTACTGTCGAGCAAAAGCTCTGTTATCCGGAATCCATCCAAAATGGGGGGGGGGGGGGGGGGGGTGCCGGTTAATTAAATAAGCCGGTTATCTGAGAGTTACACTTACGGCTCATCAAATTTTCCAAGTACACAACACTTTTCAAGAAAAAATCTGAACCTACATTTTACCTAAGCTATAATAAATAATATACTTTTTTAAAAAGGTCAGTTCTAGAGCATTCTCAGTTCATTGTAGAGAAGCAGCGGGGCTGTTTAGAGTACAGTATACAGTCGTATAATACTGTAATTTGCAGACTGCCACTTGGGTTAACACTCATCAGCGAACCTGAAGCTCCCGTAAACAACAACGGAGCTATGAGAGGCACACAGCAAGGATACCGGACGGCCGTCAGTATTTTTCTGCACAAGTGAAGGAAGATTTGAATTTCCGTCTATGACAAATGCCGGTTAATAGAACATTCCGGATGGTAAAGTGCCGGATAACAGAGCTTGCGCTATAATTAACATCAGTCCTCGTTCAGAGTGCTGTATAAATACTTGCAATATACCCAAGGATGATAAATGTATTTACTGAAACTGCTTGAAAGCATGATTAGCCTCTAAGGACATTACGGATGTTAAAAAAATGTTACTATTGGGAAAATTGATAATTTCATAAATATTACAGTTGTTCAAGAAATAACCATGCCATGTTGTTTTCTTTTAAAGGGTGACGTCACACAGTCAACCACTGACGATATGCTCACGGTGACGACTGAATATATGTCCACTGAAGATAATGGATCGGATTACGCATCGGGAAGAAGTGGAACTTCATGTAATTTTGATGCAGAGGAGCTCAGCAAGACACTTCTACCAATCATCTATTCAATTGTTTTCATCCTGGCTTTCATCGGCAATGCATTAGTTATACTGATATTAGTCAAGTACAAGAGATACAAAGAAGTGACCAATTTTTACCTTTTAAATCTGGCCATTGCCGATCTAATCTTTGCAGCGACAATGCCGTTCTGGGCTCATGAATCGGCCAATGGCACGTGGATTTTTGGTAACATCATGTGCAAACTCGTCACCGCTTTTTACAGTGTTAATTTTTACAGCGGGATTTTTCTCCTGGTGTGCATGAGCATTGACCGTTTTAATGCCGTGGTCCTTGCCACAAAGTTCAACAAAATAAGGAGGCTGCAGAATGTGAAATATATATGTGCATTTGTGTGGGGATTTGCATCTTCCCTGAGCATTTTTGATATCGTTTTATGTCAAGCCCAATCCTTTGATGATGGTATTACAATAACTTGCGGACACAACATTGACAGCAACATTCTTGACTGGAAATTGGGACTGGCAATTGTTCAAAACATCTTTGGTTTCTTGATACCATTTATAATCATGCTCTCGTGCTATTCCAGCATAACAATTACCCTCATGCATACCAAAAACTACAAAAAGTTAAAGGCATTTTACGTAATTCTGGCGGTGGTGTTGGCTTTCTTCTTCTGCTGGCTGCCCTTCAATGTCATCATGTTTATAGAGGCGTACCTGGGATACAATGATGCGATGACATGCGAGGCTCAAACAAGCTTAATGTATGCCAAGCAAGCTGCAGAGGGCATTGCCTTCAGCCACTGCTGCCTCAACCCATTTCTCTATGCATTCATCGGCATCAAGTTCAAAAATGATTTCATGCGGCTGCTCAGCGAAGTCAGATTGATCAGTCAGAAGCAGCGAAGGCGGACCAGGCAGCCCAGTTTTACACGGTCATCGCAAGCTTCTGATGCCGAGAGTAACACATCCGTTACAAATATCAAATACGGAGCATAGTAATAATGTAGCTGACAGGATGTAATGTACGGTCGGTTTGGATCTCGTCAGCCAATCAGATCGTGCATCGAACTTCATGTATTGTATCGGGTTGTGACCCACCCAAGATTGGGTCACAACCCGGATTGACCAATTAGGCTGCTGGACCATTAAAAGTAGCTCCCAAACACCACTGTTGTCGTGATGCTTAGGCATCCTCTTGAGTTACAAAATCCTGAATTGAATTGTCCAATCCAGAGGTTAATTTAGTTGTTCAGTTTGATATGACTTTGTAATCTTTCTTTGGTACGAAATAATGCATATTACATTTATCGGTCAAAATGAATAATTGGGGAGAATGGTGGCACGGTGTTTAGCGCATTCTGCTTAAACCCTGCCACCTCGGTGCTTGATGAGGGGCTCAAAATTTTAAAATTGAAGATTACTGTTAATCCTATTTACAATTGCAAAAACGCTCTTTTGACTGAAATGTAATCACATTCACCACTTTGTAATTCAACAAAGGGGGAGGGTGGGGGGGTGGCCTCACCCTCAACACCACAACAGTGCTCACCATTGGGGGCTCGTGTTAACATATCGTCGTACGTACTACTGGGAATGGATGTTCTTGCGAAGTGATCATTTGTGAGAAAACATAGATATGTAATCAAATAGCTCCGGATTGGACTAAGGTGGTGATCGGTCCCAATACAACTGGATGCTATGAGATGAAGCATGCACCGCTAATATTTTATTATTCAATACACTTTTATGAATGTTATTCTCGGAAACAATATTTCGATGTTTAGTCGGTGAATGCAATTTAATGCACTTAAATATTTTTTCACTGCAGCTTTTATACATTTGCAGATCAAGGTAATACGTCACCACCAATCGATAATTCTAGATATAATAATTTTGTTTTAAAAGAAAACTGTGATTAACCATGGAATTAAGTCGTAAACAATTACCTCTTCGTCACTCATATACATACCTTACAGGGGTTTAAAATTATATCCATATAAATTGATGGCATTTTCACGATGTTTTATTTTTTTGTCGTTGTGTAAAAGGCGTTCGGCTCTACATTGCAAGGCGGCGAAATCAAATCGTGATTGGGGATTCAGTGGTTCTGGAAATCATGCCATATAAGAGCACCGGTGAGATCATGGGTTCAAATCGAGTTATCCATGATTACATTTGAATTGACAGAATAGAGTTTGATTTGTTACGTGATGAACCGTCTTTGTAGGTTAAATAAAAGGTGTTCCCCTAGTATGCTTAAGGGAGGCATAGTTAAGGAACGTCAGTAGTGTTGTGATGACACCTTCTGCAACTGTGAAGAAGTTTTGAATATAAATTACATCTCTAAACACGATGCCAACAAACTGGAAGGTACAGTTAAGTGCGATAAAAATAAAAATATTAGCCTGGTGAACAGTGATTAGACAAAACACCCTATCACATTACATTCGGTTTGGCACTTCATTGGGCCAACTACCAGCTCTGAGAACTAAAACTATAGGGCTTGACTGTCAGGTGACCAACCGTTACCTCTCTGCAATAGGATGGGTGGGAAGTGCTGCCCCCCCAGTGTATGAAGGGATCTCGTAAATGGTTCAGTGACATCTGCTTGCATGGACTGCTCTCTAGCACAAAGTGATAACAACGCTGTGCTCAGTCAATTCAGACTGGATATCTTGTTTTTTTCCATCTCATGACATTATACTGACAACACAAATTGAACAAAAATTGTAGACAAGACGAAATGATTTGAAATAGTTGAAATCCCAGTCAAGGGTCATTAAAATAAGTACCACTTGATGGTAGTCAACAGTGGTTATCATCTTCTTGGTTCTTTCGGTAAAGTCACGTAGAAGGGAAGTAATAAAATAATAAAATAAAACATAATAAAGTAATTCTCACGACGTTTCGGCCACAACGCAAGCAGCCATCCTCAGGTGAAAACCAGGTCTGTCGCCTCGACAGACCTGGTTTTTACTTCCCTTCTACGTGACTTTACCGAAAGAACCAAGAAGATGAATCCCTGCAGTCACGAAAGCTTTAAATCGAAATTTAGTGGTTATCATATGCATATCCTTGGCCTCATCATAGCACTATGGAATTTCCGCTAGTGGTTTAGCTCTATAAATGAGATAGACACCACCCACCTTTGAGTGGGAAAATTGTTTTTTTTAGTTCACTGCAATTTATAAGTATTATACAATGTATTATGACAATCGTGTATGGTATGGCTTTATAAATATATATTTGCCGAGCTGTTATGTACCTTAATGTAATAAATTGTTGAAGAGTGTTGCGTTTTATAAGAGGCACAAATAAGTGCGAGTTAAGTTTACCATATCTGAAAGCTATTTAAACAAGTATATTATATAAATAACAGAGAAAGGTTTATAAAAAATATATAATGGTGGTCTTTGAACATTTCTCTATGTGTGCCACCTACAGTTGAGGCATGACATTTCATATTTGTTAGCCGATTTTACAAGAGCATTTTTTTTAATATACTAGAACCAAGATCAATCGTTTTTACATGGAGACATAAAACTCGTTTGTATCGCGAAGTAGTGTTAGTGTGCATTTTTAAATGACTGTACGTCAAAAAGTATTACATCTCAAACAGAGCATTGCAATACGAGGGCGAGAAGTGGAATGGGCATTTGCACCGAATTTTGGACTCCAATAGCTTTAAAAGGGCCCTATTGGCTACCTACGTGGCAGTGTTTCTTAACCTTTAAAGCAGCCTTGCGCCCCCCCATTGGTTCTCAAGCGTTAAAAAGTGTATGTTAACACATTGGATTGATGAAACTAAGCAGTTGTATTCCTGGTTCTTTCGATTGCAACCATGTGTTGCTTGTGTTGCAATAGAAAAGTCGTGATAATTTTAGTGTTTAATTTTTATCATTTCCCTTCTAACGTGACTTTACCGAAAGCACCAAGAATATGAATCCCTGCAGTCTCGAAAGCTTTAAATCGAAAAGTTGTTGTACTTACGTGCTTAATTTGTTTCGATGATCTCCCTTCTAAAAACACCTGGCACCCCCAAGAAAAGGGGCATCTCGCACCCACCGGGGTTGCGTGCACCCCAAGGTGAAGAACCACTGATCCATGGCTAACCAACCCATGCCTCTGTAATAGGATTGACAGAATGTTGTGCATATAGTACATGCTGCTTGTTTTACACTATTATATTACTCGTACCTTACACAAGATATATCATACGTTTGCTGGGTGATCTTGCATTAAAAGTTGAGAAGAAACAGTTTGGGCCACTGGGTGATTATTGATAGAATGTTAATACTGTTCAATGCATTCGTTTGCCAAGTAAAAAAATGCATGTTTCGTATTGCCTTGTTTTATTTATGCAACAATATTGATGTACTGCACTGCCATTAGGGGCCACCCATTGAGTAGGTACGCAAAATATCTGTCAAAACTTGACCCTCCCCCCCTCCCTGTACGCACACGAAGTTTTTACCCCCCCCCCCCACCATCTGTGTACGTACACTTGACGCACCCCCCCCCCCCAATCCTATAGAACGGCCAATATTTAATCCACGCAGAAACGATCAAGGATTAATAATCTTAACGTGTTTAAGCAAACAGATAGTCCACCGCCGGCTGCATTAAAGAATTAAGTTGCGTACCCTGGCCACTTGTTTTGCCGAGCTGCGTGATAGCTGCAGTCAGGGGCACGGTGGCACACGAGTGACACCTCTCCCAGAGTCCTCCCGGTAGTATTAGTTGTCTGACAGCTGAATAAACTGAACTGTGGCTCATTTGAAGACCAATGTAGAAAAATTATTATCCAGGCTTCACCCCCCCCCCACCCTCCCGTTTCCTATGCGTACGTACATTGTCAGAAGACCCCCATACGCAAGCGTACGCATTTGGGTTAAACCCCCTCTCCCCCCTCCATGCGTACGTACTAAATGGATGGCCCCTTAATAGAGTCAAATAAACGGAATGAAATACACTCTTGCATGCAAATGGTGCCCTCTATCGAGTTTGCAGAGAACCTTCCTAAGTACAGCCAAACTCCCTGCCATAGCACACATGACCAACAGCTGGCGCTGAGGCTCCTCTGCCGATCAATCAACACAAGACTGGTAAATCCTCACATTGAGTTGCTTGTTACCAAACGGCACATTATGTATATACACAAAAGACAAACATCCCCCGTTTCGTCTTATCAGACTGTCGGAGCAAGTGCTGTTAGCGAGCACCTATCAAAGTCGGAACGGCACACGAGTGGGTGGTGTGGCCAACACCATCCACAGCCACCGTCACCCCAGTGGCGATGCTTACACATCGCAACAGGCATTCATTTGAGGCCGAGTCGACCTAGGGGAGGCCCAGCACCGGTTCAGATACAGCAATCGTCACGGATGAGAGGGGATCGAACGAAGATTCATAGCGCAGCACGCCAATGGCTACATATATATACACGCACACAAATGATAAACTATTTGGCTCATGGGTGACGCATTCACTCAATGGTTTTGCCGACAGCCCTATGAACCGAACCCAGTTCAATTCCAAGCTGCGACTAAACAAGTGGGAATCGTACGGGGGGGGGGGGGGGGGGAGGCAAATTATGTTACGTGGAGGACTTCATTCAGCAGTGGACTGACAAAGGGCTGTAAATGATAATAATTTTAATGGGCTGATAAGACTGATAAAACTATGTTACTAGAGGCACATCCACTAAGGGGGGGGGGGGGGGGGGCAGTTGCACAAATTAGGCGATGTCACAGTAAACTATTTAAAAATCATCCTCATCATACAGGTGGGGAGTAATTTTTAAAGTAATCATCTAAAAGCTTTCATCAAGTGACTTAATGGCTTTTTTTCAATTATTTGTCACAGACGTGAAAATGGATGACTACCATCAGTGGATTAAAAAGTGAAAATCAGTCTGAGTGTCTGGCACCGAATGATTATATTTGCATATCAAGGGAGACAAGTTATATCTATCCGAATTAAAGAGCTAATTGGTGAAAAAGCCACTCACTTCAAATAATGAACATCATCTTTATAGTGTTTAAAATACAGCCTGAAGTTGCATAAATGCCCAAAGCTAACAATGCATAAAACTTGTTCTGTACTTGTTACACCATCTACTTATGAGTGAGCAGCTTAACTGTCATGAAAGTTTAGTCTGGAGTGGATTCGTAGATGCCGACGTGCTTTCACTATCATGTGGGTTACATGGAGAAGTTCAAGAGCCGAGGAATTCAAATAATAATAATGTCTAGAAAACAAACTCAAGATTAAAAACCTGCTTAACCACCTGCGAGCTGGTAAAATACATTTCTCAGAGTATGACAAAGCTTGTGAAGGATTTTTACCTTTTAATATTCACACTGCTACTAATCCCCCCCTGCCACAATTGTTGACAGCAAAAATAAATCGAGGAAAACGATTCCATTTTTGAATAATTTTCCAAATGAACTTATAATCCAAAACCCTTTAACATTACAGGACAAGAAAAGCGAGGCCTACACTGTCAGTTTATCGCGTAGGCTTTCGCGTAACAAAACATATACAAGCTCTACATCGGTAGGACCTCTTCGTTCATTCAAAACGAAGAACATCTCGTAAAAAACAATTGAAGATATTAAGCTTAACCCGAATGATATTCTCAAAAGTTTCGATGCGACTTCTCTGTTCACAAGGGTTCCGGTCAATGAGTCAATTACTCGATACTCGGGTAGCGAACGCAAGTTTAGCCACAGATATCCCACGAACAGCTCAACACTTAAATTTCGATTTAAAGCTTTCGTGACTGTAGGGATTCCTATTCTTGGTTCTTTCGGTAAAGTCACGTAGACGGAAAATAATAAAAATAAAACAAAAAAATTCTCACGACGTTTCGATTGCAACACAAGCAATCATCATCAGGTGTGATGATGATACAGCTCAACACTGCCTAAAGAACACCTATTTCTTGTGGAAAGGTGATTTCTATGAGCAAAAGGAGCAGCAATGGGTTTTTGGGGTTAGATCTACTCTCCGACACACCGGTGTGCTGTACTTGGAACGAAGTGGCAATGTTTTGCTTACACGACAAACCCTACTATTTGGCCATCGGGTGGTGGCGGGTTTAACGGCACATTTATATTTACGTGATCTAACCCAAACAAACCTGTATTATGGACTATTTATATCCATTACCTCCAGGAATGTCACGCAAACTCTCTTAGCCATTCATATTGCATGTCACTTAACTCCACAGGAATAAAAAAAACACCAATATTGTACGTAAGAAACTGACAAAATTTACTGAAAAGCTATCTTCAGAAAGTTTACCTTATTTTCATGGACTCTCAAAACCCAAATGGGCTCTCCGACTTCCCTTTTTTTTAATCTGTCATCTGACAACTTATAATCACGAGGCAAACCAGCATCCTGGGGAAAAAAAGCGCCACGGCAATTTGTTTTTGAGTTCACGGGAAGATGACGTCTGTTTGACGTCAAGCGGCACACGCAAGGGTTTTTTTTCGCGCGACTCTTATGGGCACGTCTGTACGCCTGGCTTACGGGGCTGGCCAGCCCTTGCGCACCACTTCAGAGGGTCCCCACTTACTGTGCATAAGGGCCAGACAAGAACAACTCCTACAGCTCAGGTAAGATCTTTTTGCGTTTTAAAAATCGGTATTCAAATTCAGCTTATTTACGTGGTTATGTTTATTGTAAGGCGAGCGGCTCTCGTGTTGTGGTGGCGGTTAGCGCAGGTCAGTAAATCTGGTAGAGGGAGTTCAATTCCTGGCCACAGTTGAGTGATGAAACTCCTTCAACAACCTACACTGGCCAGCGTGGCGAGGAGTGGTCGAAAAAGGTCCATAACCGAAAGGCTAGGGGAGGCTTTTCAACCAACAATGGATTGACAAAGGAAATGAAATTGTGAACTGCAGCATGAAAGACCCAACAACCAATAAGTACGGCCTACCTTATGTAGTTACAGAAAATATGACTAAGCTATGATATGAAATGTAATTTAATATTTTTTAAGTAATGTCAAGTGCACCGTTATATATTTACAGCGATACCATATAAAATACATTGTGTATGCAATGGAGAAAAAAACGTGAGAATTTTGCCCTATTTATATTTTGCGGAGCATAAACTCAGATTGATTTCGAGCTACAGTAAACCAATGGTTACACGTGTTGTTTACATATTGAACGCTAATAAAAGTGGACATGTATTCAATTAATACAATAAAATGGTATACAAACAGTAAAAAGAGATATCTTCAAAAACGTGTTTGTGCTAGAAAATGAATTTCACATCAGGATTAAAAGAGCAACAAAAAAACTTTGGCGCTATCTTCCCCAACAGCTCTCGCCACAATGCTGATTAACATCAGTGAATTGACTCACTCGGCGACAGAATTTTTTTTTTACTGAAATTATAAAGTGCCGAATGAGAATGCATGCATCATGTGACTGAGCTGCTCACTTCATGCACTAATAAACTTGTTCATATTCATGTGATATATCAATTCATCTTCTACTCTGACAGTCTTTACAAATGGCTTGGTAAGTGGGGTGTCACGGTGGTAAGAAGTTATCTCCCTCGCCCGGTATGGAGGAGAGGTTGTGGGTTCGATCCCGATGATGCCTGCATATTCAGTAGAGTTTGTATGTTCTCGCTCCGCCGTGGTGGTCGCGTGGATTTTTCTCAGGGTCCACCAGTTATTCCCTCTGCATTAAGAAGCATGCATTTAGATTATTTGGTTACATTTCGATTTAAAGCTTTCGTGACTGCAGGGATTCATCTTCTTGTTTCTTTCGGTAAAGTCACGTAGAAGGGAAGTAATAAAATAATAAAAATAAAACATAATAAAACAATTCTCACGACGTTTCGGCTACAACGCAAGCAGCCGTCTTCAGGTGAAGAATGAGACACTACCAAACTAGGAGCTTATATATAAGCTGCATTGGGGGTTGAAGAGCGCCTTAACAAAAAGAATGTGCATGTGAAGAGGAATTTAGCATATTCATGGCAAATGCGTAGGCGTTGGGCGGGGGGGTGTCAAAGTCATATTATGCCCATGCATTATGCAGGATCAGCAGCAACCAAGGGGGGTGCAGGGATTAGCAGTAACAAAGGAAAGGAATGTTAATGATATGTAGCTGCAGTTACTCAACAACCACGTAGAAAACTAAAGTATAAACTACATAAAAAACTAAAGTATAAACTGCATCGCACCATCAGTATACTTACTATACTCTATAATAAGCTGAGTTACTAACAGCAAGTAATACATTACAATTCTACCTCGTAAAAATTCTATAATATGCTTCCATCTAAACCTTATTCTCTTACATCACACGAGCATATACCGTACTATATACTGCCATAGATAAACCCAACATTAAATTATATACTGTATTGCTGTAAACCAACCTATATCTTATACATTTAATATAACACTATGTATTATTCTACACACCCTGTAGAATAATACATAATACATAGTGTTATATTAAATGTATAAGATATAGGTTGGTTTACAGCAATACAGTATATAATTTAATGTTGGGTTTATCTATGGCAGTATATAGTACGGTATATGCTCGTGTGATGTAAGAGAATAAGGTTTAGATGGAAGCATATTATAGAATTTTTACGAGGTAGAATTGTAATGTATTACTTGCTGTTAGTAACTCAGCTTATTATAGAGTATAGTAAGTATACTGATGGTGCGATGCAGTTTATACTTTAGTTTTTTATGTAGTTTATACTTTAGTTTTCTACGTGGTTGTTGAGTAACTGCAGCTACATATCATTAACATTCCTTTCCTTTGTTACTGCTAATCCCTGCACCCCCCTTGGTTGCTGCTGATCCTGCATAATGCATGGGCATAATATGACTTTGACACCCCCCCGCCCAACGCCTACGCATTTTCCATGAATATGCTAAATTCCTCTTCACATGCACATTCTTTTTGTTAAGGCGCTCTTCAACCCCCAATGCAGCTTATATATAAGCTCCTAGTTTGGTAGTGTCTCATTCTTCACCTGAAGACGGCTGCTTGCGTTGTAGCCGAAACGTCGTGAGAATTGTTTTATTATGTTTTATTTTTATTATTTTATTACTTCCCTTCTACGTGACTTTACCGAAAGAAACAAGAAGATGTATTTGGTTACAATTATACATTTCCATCATTACGTGTGGTCAGATCACCTCTGAAAAAGAGCTCATAGCTCAGTGAGGGGGGGCTTTACCTGGTAAAAAAAGTATCTAAATGTTTTGACTATATATTGGCTTTCCGATTTAAAGCTTTCGTGACTGCAGGGATTCATATTCTTGGTTCTTTCGGTAAAGTCAAGTAGAAGGGAAATAATAAAATAATAAAAATAAAACAATTAAATTCTCACGACGTTGTGGTTTTCACACCTGATGACTGATTGCTTGTGTTGCAATCGAAACGTCGTGAGAATTTTATTGTTAATTTGTATTATTTGCCTTCTAAGTGACTTTACCGAAAGAACCAAGAATATATATTGGGCTGTTTATGACTGCTAAGCTATAAACATATTACACTTAAAAATGTAAATGAAAAAAAATTATTTTGGTCGCAACAACTCGCTACGATTGTTGTATTATAATGCAAGTTACTTCCCAACACCGGTGTGCTCTACTAGTAACGAATTGGCACGGGTGGTGGCTGGTTTAACGACACATTTATATTTTCGCGATCTAACCCAAAAAAAAAAACCTATATTATGGATGATATTGGCCGCGAAAGCCTACATGTTAAACTGTACAATCATTTCTTAACACATTTTCATCCCTACAGACTCTGAAGGGACGTACAACAACAAGACTGCCCGTATTTCCACATTTTCTGAACATGAATGCGAGCATCATGACGAACTTAACGGTGAGTTTTTGCTTTTTTATGCTAGTTACGACAGCATTGGAGTGTTTTTTAACTCAATGAAAATACAAAAGCTTGTTTGTCATTTAAAATGCAGAATGTAATCCTTAATTGCTTTAGAATATCCAAGTAGCTATGTTGTTATAAAATTAGTTCACATGCAATAATTATTTTGTAACTTCAATTTCCAAAAAGTACTTTGCTTACCATTTACAATATGTATGAGTAAGCAGTGATGTCAGCAAGACAATTCCAGAAAACACTTCAACTTACGGAAAAACCTAACGCCTACACACACAACTAATGATTTAAAATGTCAAATTGAACTATTAGAGTAATTTCGCTAAAACCCTACTTTATATTTAAAAAATCCTAATCAGAATATTTACTTATCCTGTAAAAATCCGATGAGCTAGTGTTCAATTACATTATTTTAACAAAATTTAGATGTTTGTTGACTTCAGCTTTTTTAATAACAAGTAACACGGCCTTTTTAAAAACCTTTAAGTCAGCTGCTGTGGCCTTTAAGCCAAGTGGCTGGCCACAGTACTGAGCGGGCACCACAGAGTACAAGGTTCAGAATAAGAATATTTATTTATAGTGGAGGAATCCGATGAGCTATTAAGCTCTTTTTCAGATGTCCAGTATGGGCGGGTCAGAACGTTACAGACAATACAAAAACACGATAGGAGTGCAAAGTAAAGGGTAGACGAATCTCTTAAACAAACATATACTAATAAAAATAAACTATATCTTTTTAATATTACCAGGTAAAGCCCACCAAAGTATTAACTTATTTTTCAGAAGCGACCTGGCCACAAAGGAAAGTGGCTTATCATGTGGAAAATTGTAGCAACAAAATAATCGAAATAATCCAGGCAGCCACCTATGATTAAACTGGTTTCGAGTGGTGATTTTATGGTTTCAGCGACCTCAAGAATTATTCCACAAAGCAAACATCGCCAATAGTCGACCATCATTCGATTCAGGGCCTGGCATGGCCGATGCGGTCAACTGATGCTCAAATTATGCAAAGGTTCGACAGCCTGCGAGTGTGGCCACAAATCCCAAACCATCGACCACATTGTAAACACTCCGCCACCGCTGCTGTTGTATTCACTCCTTGAAAGGAGGAATGGATGAGATCCACTCTCCTTTTGAACAGACAATTAAATGGAAAACAAATAACAAATTACATCTTTCATCTGCTGTTATTAATCCATACGAAATAAGAAGTTTGTTCCTGTATTTCAATTTGGCTAAATTCCAGCATGGGATTTTAAAAAGTAATTGTTTGACCATTACTGACCATGGTTTGACTGTCACGGAACAAACGTTCTAATAATAGGTTTGTCAAACCTTTGCATCATGATGAAACAAACGTTATACTCCGTGGGACGGAAGGCGGAAAAGTGCTGCCTCCCTTACTGTCTGGACCAGGACACCCGAAGGTGATCTCAGAGCGAGCTCTCTGATATCCGCTTCCATGGGCTGATCTCCAATACAAAGTGTAGCACCCGCTCTGCGAGTGATCCAACACGTGACAGGAATAGAACAAATTGGGGAACATTTTTTTGAAAAGGCAAACAAGAGTCACGAGAGCAAACAGCATCTGTAATAAAACACTTGGCAACGCGACAGTCAACAATGGGACTTTCTACATCTAAACTATAAATTATACATCAGTTTAAAATAAATCTAAAATAGTATGCAGCGAACCGTGGCGACTATTGTTATCTCATCCTTATAAAAATTGTCCTTTACTTCATATTATTTCTGGCAACGATGCACTTTTGTGCACTCCAACGTGTTGAATGTTGGATATAGAATATCATTATCATCATCAGAGTTGTTTCTTTTTGTTTGCATTTTGACTTCTTGTGTTGAGGTTATTGCAAACATGATGCCTTGTATAAAGGTGTCAGATTTTGTACCAGTTAAAAAGGTAAAAACCTATTACTATATTTTGCCACTGCTAAAGGAGATCTCATAGTGTAAATGCTTACCCCGAGCTCTCAATACTCTGATAGTGCGCTGTCTTTGAGTTGTACGCCTTTTGGTGTCATCTGGTCCAACACCAATGGAGACTAGGCTCTAAAGAAAGCTGTCTCGGGTGTGGACCAATCAACTTCAAGGACAGTGCATATCATTATCATCATCAGAGTTGTTTCTTTTTGTTTGCATTTTGACTTCTTGTGTTGAGGCTATTGCAAACATGATGCCTTGTATAAAGGTGTCAGATTTTGTACCAGTTAAAAGGGTAAAAACCTATTACTATTACAATATCAACTTTGCCAAGATTTCTAAGCTTTTGAATGTGGTTGTGTGGATTGGAGACCATGGGACATCCAAGTTCACGAATTATTTCCTCCCAATGAAAATTCAAAAAGTTCTCAAATAAACTGTGTTTGATGTTAAAAGCTTGTCCACTACACGTGTTTAGGTTAGGATGACTGTTGAACGCGAGAATGAGAATGCCAAAGTACTTCACCGAATGACAGATTCTGTATTCTACAAATCAATATTTATAGATCATACGACGAGCAGGACACCAAAGGGATGCTGCTCTTGCTCAAACTCATATTGCACAATTGTGAATGTGCCCACTAAAGCTATCGTTCGAATAGACTACAATGCAGTGCATTAGGAACTTCATTTACAACAAATGTGTTTTTTCACAGGAAAACAACCTGGATGACAACCACTCCACCAACATCAATCAAACTTATGCCAACATCTTTGCAGAGACGACTTCCAATACAACTGCCTATATTTCAACTTTCAACATGACCAACACCTCGCTGGACTTCAACACATCGGAAGTCACCTTAGATTTTTGCGTCACAGAAAACCCGCCATCGATAGTACCCATATTGGACTGCCTACTTTTCCTTCCAGTTTTAATTGGAAATGGGCTCGTTTTAATGCTCTTTGCTCGAAACATCAAGAGGGTGGTGTCAGTCGACATATACATCATCAATCTGGTGATCTCGGACATACTATTTGCTTTGACGCTGCCCATCTTTGCTGCGGAAAATATGACGACCGAATACATGGGTGTAATACCATGCGTCTGCGTGAACGCAGTCTTCACCACGTGCCTCTACGTGCACAGCCTCTCGCTTTGCTGCTTGAGCGTCTATCAATACTTAACGGCAGCACACACCAACTTCATTCTGAAATACCACAAGATCATGTACACGACGACCATATGCCCCTTGATCTGGATTTTCGCTGCATTGCTCGCGGTGCCGGACATCATTCTCTTCAACAACCCCCAAATAGACTTCTGCACGCGATTCACGTTGGATAAATACACGCTTTCATCCACTACGGTGTTCGTACAGCTCATCATCGGTTTCCTGTGCCCGTTCGTCATCATACTTGCATCGTACTTGGGCATCGCGAGCTCCCTGGCGTACGCGAAAGCCGTACAGCGACGACGCGCATTCAAGTTCGCCATTATCGTCGTAATGTTCTTCAATTGCTGGTTCCCGTATAACATCTGCCTCCTGTGGAGGGCAACCTCCTGGGTCCAGGAACATTCCTCGTGCCAAATGGAGCAGATGAGAGAGAGATACGCCATCCCACTCACACGCAGCCTGGCCACCATCAATTGCTGCCTCATTCCTTACATCTATGTGCTCAGCAAAAGGAGGTTTCAAGCACAGATTAAAGCCATATGGAGCAAGGTCATCATCAACAAGGATTAAAGATCACATGGTTATTTTATATCTATGGTCAAGAGCAGCTCATGGACCCAAACCCTCAATGCCGATTTACACAAGTTACAATTTGTGTTTACATCCTGTCACTAGCTCTACTATTGTGCATCAAATATATATTGCACCTTGATGTGGTTGCAAAATGTGTGTACTCTTTCATTTTTATTTCAGAGAATACATTCACTGAACTACCAGTCACAATGCATAATACAGTAACACCTTGGATTGCGAGCATAATTGGTTCCGGAAACGTGTTTGTAATCCAAAGCGCTCGTATATCAAAGCACTGGTATATCAGTTGTGATCACGTGACGCTCGGCAGACAAAGCGTTTACACGTACTACTCGTATTGCAAGACCTCGCTCGTTTATCAAATTTATATTTATTAAAAAATTTAGCTCGTCTTGCAAAACACTCGCAGACCAAGTTATTAGCAATCCAAGGTTTTACTGTACATTAAAACCATGGAGAAATAACAGTGATATACAACCTACCCAAAATAAGATCTACATACTGCTAGAAACATCGCAAAAAGGCCATCAAAATGGTTCAAAACAAGTGCCGCTGTTTGGTCGTGACTTCCAAATACTCATGTTGGTATTATAACCGTGTCATCTTCGAGCTGCTATTTTATTTTACCATAGTAGGAACACATGACTTGCAGGAAGTGATTCTGGAAATGTAAATCATGTTAAAAACAGGCTACAATTGATTTAATGTGTAAATACATGTTGATTTTATGTGTACAAACCAGAGCGGATAAAATTAGATTTTTTAAACTTTTTTTTTTACTTTGAAGTTTATAATATAGTTCTGTATGTTCTATTGTTTTTTTCTTAGAAATCAATTTTTTTTTAAAGAAATACATTTAAATATCTTTATTTAAATGCATATTAGATTTGTCGTAACATTGCAAGGTTTTAAGACGCAATAAGCCACACTCACTGTATTAACAACAAGCTGAGTAGGCCATGAGTGCTGGTCAACAGTACTTTGGGTGACAAATGCTGTCAAGTATGCACCATGGGGCAGTGTCCACAAAAAGCAGAATGCTGACCGTATATACCGACCATTTCATATACAGTACACAATTCCTATTTATTTTCATATTCTGTAGATGTTGCGTTTACATAAATCTTCCGCCCCAAAATAATAGTTTTCAAACACTATGGTAGACAACTATGGGAGCTTGTTTTTTTTACCAGTATCAAAGTAAAACCTTCTATTATTTTTCATACTATGGTACCCGAGATTAACGATACTTTTTTCATAAAAAAGCTAGTACGGTCCACCTTGCTATCATGCTATTTGTTATCTAGAGATAAAATGGTTCAAGAAAAGCATCGTTTGCTTTATGCTGCCCTGGGTGGCACTGATAAGACATGTTTGGGCAATGCCTTGAGAGGACCAGAATGGAAGTTGAATTGTAGGAAACCTATGGGAACCTCATTTGCCAGTAAAAATATGATAATTGGTTCTTTACCCTTCTATCTGGCAACAAAAACTGACACCTTTTTACAAGGAGTCATGTTTGCATAGACCGCAATACCTGCAGTCATAATACAAACAAAAGAACATAACTCTGATAATGCGCCTTTTGGCGTCATCTGGTCCAACCCATATGAGACTAGGCTCTAAGGAAAGCTGTCTCGGGTGTGGACCAATCAACTTCAAGGACAGTGCACATTATCAGAGTTATGTTCTTTTGTTTGTATTATGACTGCAGGTATTGCGGTCTATGCAAACATGACTCCTTGTAAAAGGTGTCAGTTTTGTTGTAGGAAACCTGTTTACAATTTTTTTCACGTTATTTATTGGTTACGTACAATTTTAAGTTTACGTCAAATGTGTTTCGCTTATTTTACAAAAGCATCGCCGTTCAACACTTTATTGAGGACCATGGTTCAGCTTGGTTTTACACAAGTGTTACCAGAATTAAACAAATGCAAGAATCCACATCAGTTGCAGGCAATGTTTGCTGGTATACATGTGAAAATAACAATTTACTTAAGAGTACAACGGTGGTTATTGACCAATCATTCACAGCCCTTTGTTAATCTACTGCTGGATCATGGCCTGCCCGAACAACTCCCACGACCATGGAGGTCGTGGGAGTTGTTTGACACACCTAACTCAAGTGACTGCTGCGAGCTGGTGACTGCTGTTAACCATTGGCAGGAACTGAACTAGGCCACCAAGTCCATTGCCAAGTACATGAACCACTGCACCACCGGAGCTCCCCATGCTTATATACCACTGACGGCATATATTGCATATGGATGCTATGCAGACCACAGCTTTAGTAAAAAAAGACCTTTTAAAAAGCAAAATGCCTTCATATTATTTTTAAAGAGTTTTTTTTTAATGTTTGATGATTGGACACAGTCCCTAACAATTATTCCTCAGTTATAAATACACTCATTTTCTGAAGAACATACCCCACCCAATCGATGTGATTTGATTGGCTAATTTGTACTTGTGTTTCACCTCCCTTATCACAATGAACTGCACGGGTTTTCAATATTTTAAACGGTATTCAGAAAATAAAAAAATAAAAAAGCACTGGGTAATGCTGTACTGACAAAGGACAATGATGAATTTGTTACGAAGATAGTTGCATGTCGTTTTACATTGTATGGACCCATCGTGAAATAAAGATACAATTCGATATACACTATCGTCAACTGTATTTATTGCCAAAACTTATTCTATGGAGTAAAATGCGAACGAAAAAGAAGAGGCTGTTACTTGCGTCCATGTGAAACAACGGTAAGTGAATGTTTTCTCCGCATGAATGTTGAAACATGGAAAAGTGTAAAAAATAAGTAACAAAGCGGCACAAAACGTGAGGCAGGAAGACAAAGCAATTGTATAAACTCACTCTTTTTCCGCTTCCTCATTCTCAGATGGTGATGTCAGTTGGCTGCTTTCACCAACCTCCTCCTCGGTGATGATGTCAAAATTTAAATCATCAGGTGCAGGTCGTTCACCTGCAAGACAATGCGTCAAGACACCACATTTAGTTACTATGCGATGTAAAAATAAAATTGACATCACGTTAATTCCCATTGCTATGGTTTTTTTTTATCTTTCAAGCAATGATCAATGAGATCACGTCGGGGCACTGTGGTGCATGCCTATAAAACAGTTGGTGACCTGTGTGTGACATACCCACCTGCAAAACTAAAAGATGACCCTGCAGATGACGGTATAGCAACTAGAATTCTGACCTTCGTGCAGATTTGTGTACTATCTCCTCGTGTATGTGGCGTTTCTCCGGATACTCCATCCTCGCGCCAATACCAAAAATTGTTTGAGAGAATTGGTCAAATATCCCAAACAGGACCATGCTGAAAAAAAAGTCTAGATAAACAAAACAGCTTTTCTGAGTAAATCAAGGACTATAATGTTACTGCCAGTACTTTATTGACACAAAAACATCATGGCCAACCAAAGAGTGCGAACAAGATTTGAGGTAAAAAAATATTTTAATGTTCTATACGTAATAAACAAGGTCTTACAAAACGATTTACTGCACAATGTTAGATTCCCCTCCTTATGTTTTCCTTGGCTAACGCACAAAATTCGATAGATGTTATCCATCGCTTCATGAGAAAGATACGGTAATGTCGGGAAACAGAAGTGACACCTCACCCTTTCTAGGCAGTTATGCATCAAACCAGATACGCGCGTGTGCGTCTTTGGGTACAAAATAAAATTCCTACACTTTTTGCGTCAATGAGCTGAACAGGTCACATGAGGTATGATTTTGGGGATGAATCACTTTATTAGATTTCCATGCGGATTTACGTAACAGCTCGACCCCGCTTGCGTAGGTTTATGAAATTTCGAAAGACATTTTGCCAATATAATGTGAGAGAGTTGACCTCATCTTTAATATTACTAAGGCAAGCCTTGAAACAATTCAGAACCTTATGATGGGGCAAGTTTCATATGCACGGAATTATATGATAAAAACACAATGTGACAAGTTATTAAAAAACACCTAGACTTAAAAACTTAACAAATAAAATGACACCAAAACCACGTGGTCAACAAAGTGTCGCGTTCTACAAAATAAAAAAACCCACAGAAATACCTGAGGACATAACTGCATTTCATATTCACATTTTAGGCACTTGTCATGTTTTTTATTCCAACAGGCATGCAGCTCATGGCAGGTTTAGTCTTTGGCACTGCACCAGCTCGTTCATCGGTTAAAATCGCATGGCTGATGGAGGCCGCCGCAAAGGGAATTTCAGGGTGCGCGCCCGTACCGGCCGACGAGACCCGTGGGCTCAGCCGTGGTTTCACCCGTGGGTTCTCCCGTGGGCTCTCCCGTGGGCTCTCCCGTGGGCTCTCCCGTGGGCTCTCCCGTGGGCTCTCCCGTGGGCTCTCCCGTGGGTTCACCCGTTGGCTCTCCCGTGGGCTCTCCCGTGGGTTCACCCGTTGGCTCACCCGTGGGCTCACCCGTGAGCTCACCCGTGGGCTTTCCCGTGGGCTCATCCGTGGGCTTTCCCGTGGGCTCACCCGTGAGCTCACCCGTGCGTTCACCACTGGGTTCACCGGTGAGCTGACCGCACAGGGAATCACGGGATGCGCGCCCGTACCGGCCAGCGAGATCAGTGGGTTCACCGGTGGGTTCACCGGTGACCTGACCGCACGAGAAATCACGGGGTGCGCGCCCGTACCGGCCAGCGAGATCAGTGGGTTCACCGGTGGGTTCACCGGTGAGCTGACCGCACGGGAAATCACGGGGTGCGCGCCCGTACCGGCCGGCGAGATCAGTGGGTTGGACGCCGTCGAGGGCGACTCGGAGGGACTGGGCGTCCCCCCGACGGCCGACGGGCCGTGGCACGCGAAGCACGAGCGACACACGCGCTCCTTCTTCTCGCCCGTTCTCAGCGATGCCCAGTTGTTGCAGCAGTAGTAGCAGAAGGAGCGGCTGCACAGCCTGCATTGCGAGCGGGAAGAGTGGTAAAACAATGCATCGATTCGTCACTTAATATCCATTCTCAAGTTCACGATACAAGAATCAAATCACGTGCGCGAGAATTAATTGTTGAGGATTGATACAAATTGCTGTACGTCTAATGTACATTTAGGCTGACGTAAGAAATGAGGTGGCGAGTACACGTTAATGCATCATTCTGAATAACATTTGGCTGCGAGAGCACAGTTATTATACGTCAAAGAAAGCCGTAGCTTACAAACAATCGTAAAAATGTATATTAAGTGAAGAACACATGTCAACACTTGACGTCTGCGTGAACTGTGATGGCTATTTCTCTGATGGTGGCACAGCAGGACACTCTTAGAGGATCCACCAGGGGTGGCACAGCGGGACACTTTTATGGGACAGGACCAGGGGTGGCACAGATGGACTTCTCTTTAGGGGACAGGACCAGGGGTGGCACAGAGGGACTTCTCTTTAGGGGACAGGACCAGGGGTGGCACAGAGGGACTTCTCTTTGGGGGACCGGACCAGGGGTGGCACAAAGGGACTTCTCTTAGGGGACCGACCGGCAGTGGTGGCGGCGCAGCATCCAGGAGAACTCGTTCTTGCAGTCGAGGCAGTGCTGCGCTCCAACATCCTTCTCAAAGCGCTCCTCTGCACGCAGCCGCTGCTCAAACTCCAACATGTCGCTCTTCTGCCACAGCACGTCCTTGTCTCTGCGTTTGTAACAACCAACAGTGCAAAGTATTTTGACAGCCCACTTGCTTCGGGAAATTTATTTCACTCAATATGTATATGTGAATTCTTTTATATTTGGCCCGTAACTTGGGGGTTCTGATTTCCTTCTTGGGTTTTGTTTCATTTGACTTTGGTGACCTGGATAACTTGGTCAACTGAAGCACTGCATTTCAATCAATCTTTCAGAAGTGACTAAATAAATGATTACACAAATTCCAACAATCTAACCCCCATGATTTATTTTACATCGATTGCTTACTAAAAATTAACCGACTTTATGATGGGTTTTAAACCATCCTTTGATAAGAATTTACATATGGAAGGAAACTGGAGCACCTGGAGAAAACCCACGTGTGCGAGGGGGCAACACTCAATCCCACAAAGATGGAACAGGTGCAGTCAATAGTTTGCTACAAGGCCTTCTTCTGGCAAGCTACTGTACAGCATCTGGACACCCCTAGGAAACGAGTCACAGCACGCGTGGTCGATCCACTAACCCTCACCGTCCACTGTGCCGGATTACAGGCCTTGCTCCCACTATTGTCCGGCTTGCCGAACCCCCGTTTCTAACAGATGAAAGAGCAAAATGCGAAGAGCCTCGGAGTTACGTTAAGGAGTGGTAAATGTGGGTTCCTGGCCAGAGAAATCACACCGAATGACAGTGGTTCATAACCGGTTTGTTGCAGCAAAGGCCCAGTTGTACGGCGGTATTTTCGGAATTATAAGAAAGGAACGAAAGATAGGATAGAGTCTATCTAATGCCACTACCCAGTATTATTTCATTCGATAAAGGTTGAGAAGCACCCGCTAAAGAGGACCAGAGTAGTATGTTGCCACCTGCAGGTAACACATGGAATTACCACGTAGCAGGCTTTCGCGACCAACATCATCCATAAGAGGTTGTTGGGTTAGATCGCGTAAATATATGTCGTTATATAAATGTATCTTTAAATGCATGCCTACAAAGGACAATATACTTCAATAGGGATTACCGTTGGTACGGCTATTTTAATACACACAATAGATAGGAAGGACAAGTTAAAAGGGCTCGCATAATGCACATGCATAATGTGCGTTGACTCGGTAATCCCCCCACCCCACCACGCGGCGCAAGAGCGCAGAAGTGTGGTCCCCACATCTACGACGCCTCTATATAAGGAACGAAACAGGTGGACTTCTCCACAAATCTGGCTGTCGCCTGATGAAGCTAGTTGTAATTACTGGCGAAACGTCGTACTCAGATTGTAAATGTTGTAGCTTGGCTCTCCAACACACCGGTGTGCTGTACTAGTGACGAATTGGCATGTTCTGTTTTCGTGACAACCCTTACTAGTTGGCTGTGTCGGGTGGTGGCGCGTTTTAAAGACACATTTATATATTTACGCGATCTAACCCAAAAAAGCTCTATTATTCATGAAATTACGTTTGAATCAAAATGTGCTGTTGCTTGAATGAACACTAAACCATTAAAACACACCAATTACAATTTAAGTAGGTTTTGGAGTATAAAATATTAATTTGAGTGACATTGATTTTATTTAATTTTGACTCCATTATTAAAATGTCACGTTTGGAATTAAATTGGCTGGGAAAGACAAAAAAAGCTAATTTAAGTTTAGATTATGTTTAACTACAGATGTATGAGTATTTAATGGTGACAAACTCTGGAGCATATGACTGAGTGAGCTTGCATTTAAACATTAAAAAATCTATTTAAAATGTGGTTTATGCAAAGTGATGAATTCATGCAAATATAGGATTGATACATTAACAGTAGGGGTGATATTTTTGCAAAAACGAATACAATTTCACCTGCTGTATTTGTAAATGGATAGCTCGTTTTTGTCAATCCACTGCTGGATGAGAGGCTCCCCACACCCTTTGCAGACCATGAGATGTTTTGACCATACTTCACTATGCCGGTCAGTGTGGGTTTGTGGAGGGATTTCAGAACCATGGATTTTGATGCACTGCCCTCTACTGTCCACAATAACTGACACTTTTAATTTGAACATTTGTGGTCACCCATGAAAGACTCAACCTTACCTTGCTTGCAAGATCTGGGTGATTTGGTCATAGACAATATATCTAAATATCCTTGTAAATGTTTTTTTCTCCATTTTATGTTATGGCATCATGTCATGAGATAAATCATATATTATAACTATCGAAGAGCAGTCCATTACCCAATTATTAGTGGAGATTCACAGAAACAGATGACATGCAATAACTTTTATAATATCTTCAAATGGCATCTTATCCACACTTGGGGGCAGGAAATTGCTTCCCTATCATGGGCAAGGGTGGGAAAAGATGTTTGTATTTATTTACTTATTTTATTTTTTGAGTGGGTGACAGGGTCTAGTGAAAGTTTACTGCTTGATTTAGATGTTCGCGGTACACTACCAGTGGCTGCCCTGGTTAATACCATTGGTGTGTGAACTTAAAAAAATGCACCGTTTGCTTCCCTAATGAATGTTATATATCCCATATTATTTCACAAAAAAAGAGTAAGCAATGCATGCCGGTGTCACAGGTCACATTTACCAAATTTTAGTGAATTTCAACATCAGCGTCTTACTGTTAAACTACTGCAGACTATAATGTGTAATTCATAGCGCCTTCGTGACAGCCTTTCGCTATAAGATTGGCACAAAGAACAAATGTACAAATGTTGCGATCAATTTGCTTGCCGTGTCACAAACATGTTCAGCAGCAGAGAATACCAAATTTACACTGTGTTCGTACTATTCTGCTTTTATAATAACTGTACCTTTGAACGGTTTAATGTAAACAAAAACGAGGGTCAATAACCCTTGTGTACCCCAGGAGTGTCAATATTGTTATCGGGAGGGTTCATCGCATGTTTGTACAACTGTAAAACACCGAAAGTATGTTCATTCGGTGACACGTGCAGGTGCTGTGTGTGTGTATGACTCACTTGAGCAGTTCTATGAGTCGGTCTGACATGTTTGCCATCGTCTCCTTGAGCTCGTGAATCTCTGAAAGGAGGTTCTTCTCTTCCTCCTCCGCTCTGCTCTTCACAATGGCCAGCTCCTTCATGAGATTCTTATGATCCTTTTGTTCAGATTCAAGTGTTTCCTTACACCTGCGCTTGGCAAAAAAGTATAAATACAACATCACACCATAGGGATGGGCAACACCAGGTTAATAGACATGATCCTAGATTCATTGTTGGTTATTCTGCAGATGCATGTAAATGAGTGATCCTGACTGTTCAAGTAAGAAAGTGAAGAGACTGCAATGGTTGACATGAAGAAGCCTGGGGTTCGAAAAATAGATCTGCAGTTTCCTAGCCAACATGATAAGTGGCGATTAACAAAATGAAGGATGATGATGCAAAAAATATACAACAAACTAAATCACTTATTCACTTGAGAATAGTGCATTTTTCTAATTTATTAAAATGGCCATATCTTATTTAGCCAAGATTTCCAAAGGCTTTATCATGAGTTTTAACACTCATTACAAACTGCAATAATAGCAATCAATGCAATAGTTTATAAAACTATCCTTCAACAGTATTCCCTCTCTAAATTTACGAGATGCTAACTACTTTACTTTGTATAGAGGTTGGGTCCTCCGGTATCTCCCCTCCACATTAAGAACCAACGTGCATTTAGAGTATTTGCCTGCTATAAATTTCCACATCGGCCACTTTGTTGAGCTTGGTCAGGTCACTTATAAAAAAGGAGCTATATAGCTCAGTGGGCCTTACCAGGTAAAATAAAATAAAGTTTAATAAAAGTCTAGTTTAAGTTTCTGGTCTCAAGTTATATTATGGATTTCCGCAGGTAACGGATGGATGTAAACGAGTTAAACTGCAACTTACAGAGTTAAGACGCTGCAAAGTCAGATTCATAATTTGTGGTCGTAGGTGTTACGATCGATACCGACACGTGCCACTGCGGTGAAACGCAGACCATAGCATCTAGTGGTCTGTCGGCTCCTCGAAGAGTTGTGCATCGTAGATGACCATGCCAGGGCTACGGACCGGGCCCATATCATCATCGCGTGCCCGATAATGAATCAAGAGATGAGACTTTGGTGTCAGGACACTAATCAGTCATTTGCCACTCCTTCACTTGGTGTAAGATAATAAAAAAATAGCCCTGTATATTTTAGCATGCACAGTCAATTCTGAACACAACTAGGTTAAGTAGTTATCTTCATCACGCATTAGAGAGTTTAAACAAATTACACAGCAGCCACAATACAGAACTCGCATTAGAAGCAGCATGAAATGTGAAGACATTGGAAGCTCTTATGCACACCTGTCGATTTGTTGCAAATTCGTGTTACCACTGAAAGAGAACCAGGAGCCGAATTGCCTGTTTCAAAAGCAAAATAAATGAAGCAGAAAAAAATTAATGCCATCATGCAATGTCCCTTTGTAATGCAATGTACCAAATCTCCACCGAAGCAAAATGTTCCTTACGGTTAAAACTTTTTTTAATTAAAATATTGCTTCCAACTTATTTTTTTGTATTATCCCAAACTGGGTTTTAATAGTAGTGGCCAATGTGTGAATTTTGGTCCATTGTCTCTTTTTTTACAAAGGGTACCTTGGCATGGCCGGATACAAAAGCAAGCAAAACGTCCCAGCAAAAAAGCAAACAAGGAGCAGTGGATGGGCAAGCGAAACAACAATGCAGTGCAAAGCAAAAACATATTAAAAACAGGCAAAGCCACAAGTATTTATAGCTTAATACAAGCAACATTTTCACAAGCAGATTTACTTAGCATGCAACTGACAACATGCACCTCGAATAAAAAAAAACTGCACCAGGTTGGTGGTAAGGGGGTGGGGGGGGGTTGTTCTGTAGTGGGAATCAGGAGCATTTTCCTTGGTCAGTGCATGAACTTCATGCTCTGCAGTGTACCTGTCCAGTGCCTTCCTCAGGCCGATTCCTTCCTCTTCTTTCTTAACCCGCTCCCGCAGCTGCTGGTTGAAATTCTCTTCCTGAGCTATCGACAGGTCCTGTAGCCGCTGGTAATCAGCCTTGAAATAAACCACATTAGTCAGCACACAGCACAGTAACACAAAGCCTGCTTTGTGATAATTATACACACCAACGTTTAATCTGAAAAAAATACATTAAGTTACCAGTCTTTATGGGAAAAAATGTGCATTCCCTATGGAGTAATGTCTCATTTTTGAAGATCAAATTAAGCTGATTGTTTAATAGTGTGGGTCTTGTGTGGAGTGGAGGCTACACAGCCATGAGGATTATCCTACCTTTAGTGTCTTCACCTTGGCATTTAAATTGGAAATGATCGTATCCTTATTGCTGTTGCCACTTTTTAATTTATCATTCTCTTCTGTGTGTCTCTGAAAAAATAATCAGGTTTGTTTGTTCACATTCACACGCGAGCCTACACATTGATTTCAATACAGTATGTTGATCTGCAATTTCAAAACAAACATCAAAGTAAAACATTTCTATAAAGAAATCCCAGCAGCATACATTTTGATCTGAAAGCAGAACACCTTTTATCCACTCGTGATATGGGGCATCAATATCATGGATCCTATTATCAGTGGGGTTATCAGTGATTTTACTCTTAATCAGTGGGTAAAGCATGGGGAATAACTCGCAGATAATAGGATCAATTTGCCACAAGACTCCTCTTATCCACGAAAATAAATAAGACTCCATGTAAGTCTCCAAGAAAACATTGCGGATAATCGGAGTTTTCAAAGCGCACCGGGGGTCAAGGAAGCACAACGTTTGTTTGCGTGCGAGTGCAAACACCTCATGCTCGCTAATAGCACTTGTTCTTGCAGCCTGAAGGCTATACGGGGAATCTTTGTCAGTGTGTACAAGTACGAGTGTCCATGTATCTGTGTGGACTTGTATACTGCAGACATATACACGTACACTCAAATCCGTGTTAATTTGCGTCCGTCTTTATATCGGTTTCTGTGTCTCTATGTTGTGTATTCTCGTCTGTCTGTGTCTGTCTTTGTATGCATCTCCTTGTCTTGGTGGGAGTGTCTGTTTTTGGCTCTCTAACCGTCTCCGTGCATCTCCTTGTCTGCCTCCATGTCTCTCCATGTCTCAGTCTGTCTACATCTGGATTCGTGTCTCCATGTCTGTGTGTCTCGCTGTCTTTGTACGCATCTCCGTGTCTGCATAAAACTGTGTGGGTCTCCTCATCTTTGTGTGCGTCTGTGTGTTTCTAAGTGTGTTTGTGTCGGCGAGTGCCAGTGTTGTCGGGTGCAGCGAGTGATCAAACAGAGTACCACGTGTGCACTCTTTCATCACAGCGCATTTTTTAAGAAGCAACAAATTGTGAAGAGCTTGTATTTGCCAACCAACTCCTCTTGTCCTGAGAAAACATCAAGAATAATAGGATGCCATTCTGCAAAGACTTATGGGAAAAGTAGGGGACAACTGTGGATAATTGAATAGGACCTGCAGATAATTGGGTATTTGTGGACTCGACAGCTGCCATAGATAACAGGAGTCGGGGGGAAAATAGGGCCGTGGATGAGGAGTTTTCCTGCAGTTATATAAAACAACTACAAGGCCAGCATTATGAAATAAATAAAATGTTACCTTTAATCGAGTCTGGAAATCGATGATTTCCAAACTCATTTTAAACTTCATGGATGACAGCTCTTGACGTTGGGATTCCTCCATCATGTGGATTTTCTCCTTGGTCTTCTCCAGGTGAGTTTGCAGGTCGTCGTTTGCTTCCTTCAGACACTGCAGGCTCTGCACGTGCTCTATCAATGCTGTGTTTTCCTCGGTTAGTCTCTCCAGTTCCAGCTTAAACTCTTCCGATTCTTGCTCATGTTGCTGCACGCTCATTGTAAATTCGGAAATCGTCGAATCGATTTTTTCCACCAATAGGTCCTTTTCAGACGCCAGTTCAGAGATTTGGGAACGAAGCTCGTCAGCCTCTTCGTGAACTTTATACAAGCGCTCTTCCAACTCCAAATTCTTCCTTTCATACTCTTCCAAACAATGAGAGAGCTGAAGATTTTCCTCCTCATTTGACAACAGCTTTAACTCGTAATCGGATTTTTTCTTCAGCAAAAACCCCCTCTCTTTCTCGAGGTCACCAAGCTCTTCCTTCATCTGCAGGAGTTGCTCAACATGAACTCTATTTACATTCACCAGATCCACTTTCAGGCTCTCCAACTCCTGCCTATGCATTTTGCTGGAAATAGCTTGTTCGGTCGCACTCCTCTTGAGTTTCTGAACCTCCTCCTTGGAAACACCAAGCCGGGAGCGCAACTCACCGACCTCTGTCGTCAGCCGAGTGACGTCAGCTTGCCTCCATTGCAGTTGCTGCTCTGACAGTTCAAGCTGGCAGCGCAGCTTGGCAATTTCACTCCGAGCCATCGGGTCAAAGTCGCTTTGATTACCCTCCAACACTTCACCCTGACGTTTGTCCTCTGCTGTCAAGGTAGGTTCCCCGACATTGTCTTCACCTTCGCGATCGCGCGCCGCAACGCCGGGGTGAATCGGAGCACCGCCCTGCAGGAAAGCGGCCTCCATCCGAGCGCGATCGGCACGCGGCTCACACGCCGCAACACCTTTTTCCAAGCTCGACACTTTCCCCTCGAGCATGACGACATCACGCTTGCTCTCATCGAGCATCTTTTGCAGATCGCACAACCTCAGCTGGAGTGCCCCGTTCTCCTGCAACAGCCCCTGCTTGTCCCTGCGCGCGTCGTCCACCGCCTGCAGCAAGGAGCGCTCGGTGAGCAGCGCCGTCGCCTGCACGTCCCGCCGTTCGCCCTCCAGGGCGTCGGAGCGATCCTGCTCCCGCCTCAGCCGCAACTCGGCCTGGTCCAGGTGGATCTGCAAGCTCTCCACCTGCTCCTCCAGAGCCTGCTGCTCCGCGTTGTGGTGCAGCTGGAGCACGGGATGATCGAGGTAGGGGTGGCCGTGAGCGGCAGCGTCCAGCTTTCCGGGCATGTCCAGTGGCTGCATGAAAGCAGAGTCGTGCTTGGCATAGGCCTCCATGTGCTGCAAGTGTCAAAAGTAGCAGGAATTATTTCAAATAGGAATGTGGAGCATTGAAATTGGCGAGTGTGCGGGTGCTTGATGGATGAGGACATCACAAGATTGAGATGGTGGCAGCTTGAGAGGTATTCAACCAACAGTGAAATGACTGTGGCTGATGAATGGTTTAACCAAGTTTAATCAGTGTAAATGTTATCAGCAAACTGTCTATCTAATTGTTTAATAAACACAACTGCTATAATCCTATATATATATCCTGGACTATCCAATCATTTGTTCTTCGTGAATAAGCATAAAATGTTATAGTGAGAAGCACTGCAAAATAACTCCATAGTTTAAAACACTCAATGCAATGACCAGAACACTCACCCAGGTTATTATAATGTTTTTCTCATTAAGTTCTAACCCAATGTCAGACAGTCAGGAGCACACCATGTACCTACAAACAGGTTCCACACTATTTATTTTGCAGAAATTAAATATGAAAACTTAATACTTTCATATACAATTATGTTGTTGTCAATGTTATATGAAAGCCTTGCGAACAGACAAATGCACAATTACCATTGGTGAAAAGCTGCTGGCTAGGCTGTTAATGCTGGAGCTACGACTTGGAGCCTTCCAGAGCTGAGCTGGTGATGCTGAAGCTCCAAGTGTCCTCCTAGATGGAAAAAAAAACATCACAAGATTACACCACTTTACAGCTGCAACACAACATCGGTTCGTCGCGCATATGTCTATGCCCGATGCTGATCTTCCATTACTCACCGTGCGTATGATGGCCATTCTGCATCGAGGTCGTATCCTCTGGGTGCGAGGTCGAAAGGGAGCTGGTTTAACTCGTACAAGTGGCTAATCATCTCCGTCACCAACTCTTTCTTGACCAGAGGGCTCTTTGAGCTGTACCAGTCACTGCCATCAGAAAAGACAATATTCCACACCATCATTGCCATAATCATCACAATCACCATGTTAATAAATGCATCGTTGGGCACTTATTGTATCACCAGTTTCAATATTGTGCAAAGGAAATCAACTGAAATTCCCAGCTGTAAACTAGCACAGTATGATGATCATTATATTAGCAGTTCGCCACGTAGAGTGCAAACAAAGTTCAACGTACTTAGATTACGTGGAGAGCCAATAGTGAAACACTATACCTGGTAACTGGTTTGTTCGTGAAGCACTGCTGAAGAGTGTCTGCAAGCCTCTGGTGAACGAGCGAGTACCGAATAAATGCCCTTCCTTTTCCGATCGCAGTCTTCAGCTGTAAATAAAAGCAAACCATGCCAAAAGCCAAAGATGTGTGTAAATTAACAAGTAGAACATCTCAGACATTATCATTTAATATTTTAAATCACACAACCATTCAACGTATGGGTTACAAAACTATCAAAAGTCTGACTTGGTGATTTTAAATGAAAAACACATTATCTGAAACAAAACGCAGGACAAAATTCCCACATGTTTTTTTTACATTACATTACGGTAATGGTAAGTTATATTTGCAATACTCTACTTGGCCACTAGATGATATAAGTGGTGACCTTTAAAAGCAGATACATTTCTACAAGATGCATTTACAACTGAAGAATGTTTTCTATACTGTAATGCGAATAGTTGTATTTTGTTCTGCCATACTACGTCTAGGGAAATGCGGAGCCAAACTCACGTCACAGCAGCAGTTATGTATAAAATCCCAAATAGAATAAAAGCCAGGGGAGGCTTTATGCCAAAATTAATGCTAAAAATATAACTATTGTAACAAAAATAACTATTTTTGTTTCATAATTTATATTCTGCTAAAGGGCTAATATGAATGGGATGATGTGGCAATTTTAGAAAGAACGCCACCAAATTAATGTATAATTTCATAACGTAGTTTTCATTTAATTAAGCAGGTTTTTGAAATTTTTAAAAGTAGATTTAAAGTCCTATGTATCTGAGCCATTCATTTGGCAACTGGGTACCCCTTTCTAGTTTGATAACACCATTCCAATGTGTCATCCAGACCAGGTCCACACATTGCATTAAAGTTCAGGCCCTTAAGTGTGTGCCAATGTTTGCTGACTGTCTGCAAAGTGCGAGAAAGCATTGTGGAGGTCAGCAATGTGACCTCATTATCATGTTTACCAAAAGTAACACGTGTAATGAATGACTGCTCCCGTTGTCTGAATGACTCTAGGCAAAGAATCAGTAAGGAAGCATCGATATAAATAAAGACCTTAATCTGTATGTCTCAAAAACCTCCAGGGTACTTCTTGACAAGGTAGAAAGCTGAAATTTGGTACACATAGGTAGCTTTTAGGACACAAACAACAGGCCTCCAAATCTCGATTTTAAGTGCCCCACAAACATGTTGTGCCTGTTATTCAGAAACCGTTTTAAATATAAGATTAATAGAGCATGAAACAGCAAACAAAATTAGATATTGAATTCAAGCGGTTTTTCATGAAAAAATACGCATTTTATGTTCAAAAACTGAATTCGAAAACGGTAAAGATAGGAGCTTCCTCTCAGAGTATTAAGTTTTCGATAGGTTCGTCTTTAAATATAAAAAGTTGAATCAAGTCGTCAACAATGTGTTTTTTAGAGGAAAAATATATTTTTTGGAGTACGTGTTAGTGTTTGATCGTCGATAAAATAATTTTTTTTAAAATCACATCAGGTCAATTATTATATTTATTGAACATTTTTGCCTGGCGAAGACCGGCTTTATGAACTAGTGGAGGAATAATTATCCTTGGTTCTTTCGGAAAGGTCAAGTCACGTAAATAGAAAATAAAATCCTCCCAACTCTCGTCCCCCACCACTCACTTTGGAAACCCTTATAAGCAGTTCAATGTATAGGCTTGCCCCCTCTTTTCTTTCTGCCTGATGAAGACCGTTTGTGTTGCGATCAAAACGTCGTGGGTTTTTTGCTTTTATTATTAAAAAAATTAATTTTAATCTACGTGACTTTACCGAAAGAACCAAGAATATGAATTCCTGCACTCACGAAAGTTAAGTCAAAATTTAGTGTAGGAATAAACTAATATCGCGAGATGGTCAAGTCAAACTTGTATCTCTATGTTATATGCGCGTTCGTCTGTCTAACGCACTGGTACATCCAAGAAACGAAAAACAAGTTTAGCCGGGTGGGGATGGGGGGGTTATGACGTCACACCACGCTGGTGAGGTGGAGGGGAGGGGCCGATGACCTCAGACACTGGGCTGTTGGGAAGAGGAGTTCCAACATCACACAAGATTGGAGTGATGTTGTGAAGAGGGGGGGGGGGGGGGGTGACGTCACGCGACACGGGTGAGGAGTCGGAGAGAGAGTGTGGACAGAACGTACATATTCGTGGAAGTTCCATGGGTTCCTGCTCGTAAAATTTCACGTGTAAGAATCGATGTTTTCAATTCATACATCTTACATGTGGTGGGTTCACATCACTCTTGCAGTTAAGAGGAACAGTACTACCATTCACCAAAATGTAAAACGTAATCCTTGAATCAAATCTGGGCAGAGGATTACTCATTCCACTCATAAGAGATAAAGCTTCATTTCAAGGTATATAATCTTATCTGACAAAATGCCTGCCATCAAAATGATGGCTTTAAAAAGCATCAGTTATACGTACTGTACTCTGCCCAATGATTTTCTTCGCTATTAAAACTCCGAATCCACAAACCCATCCCCCATCTGAATTTGGTGAAACGTGTTCTAGATTATGCTAATGTATTTTATTCCTGAATTGTAAATAAGGATTACTAGGAAGTCGCTACGCTTTTGTAAACCAGTAAAATGGTAGAGACTTTGCCCAAGCGTCTGATATAAATAGATGCAAAAGGACACCGAAATCTGCTTCACCTTACACACATGCAATGGAATAACACAAGTATCAAGTTCCATTCTACGTTGAAGTAGAACGGTTTTAAAATTCAAGGAAATATAAATTTACAATACATTTTACATGGACTATTACAATAAGAACACTTTAAGAAATGTATACATTAACAGTATATTTTACTGTAAAAAAACCACAACAGCTTTATTTACTGCAGTCTAAAGTTTGGTAAATCGTTTACACCTATCTTCACCGTTAACTTTCCTGTTTGAAAGAGAACTCCTCACAGTGAAATAAAATACTGCATTCTCGTTTGATACCACCGAAAGGAAACGTTAGTGTCACATTATCCACAGGTTCCTAAAAGTGAAGATTAATAAATGCCAGGCACTTGGGCCAACAATCCAGTCTCCCATTGAACACAATAGGCTGAACAAGTATGGCATTCTAAATCTGTCTTTCCGACAGACCTGTTCTTCACCTGAGGATGGCTGCTTGCATTGTGGCCGAAACGTCGTGAGAATTATTTTATAGTTTTATTTTTATTATTTTATTATTTCCCTTCTACGTGACTTTACCGAAAGAACCAAGAAGAACATTCTAAATCTGTTGTAGCATTAAGAATGTGCCTTCTCACCTCAGGGATCGACTTGACGAAACGGATTCCATCATTAGCTCCTTTCTGTTTGGCAAGACAGTCGTTAAAGTAGTCCCAATACTCCCTTCGAATGCCCATCAGGGTCCGTTTCTCCTTTTGACCAAACTGCAAATACAGCACACACCATGGTATTAATGGAATGTAGAAAATAAAATGCTGCAATATAACGTACAGAGGAAGTAAACGCCAAAGAGCACTCCGGTTCATTTTAACTGCGAGCTTAAAAACGTGCTCAAACAACCATGAATTTAACCTCTGATATGCTGTATCTATGGGTAGAGCAGTGGTGCAGCGGTTAGCACACTGTATTTTGAACCTGGAAAAACAATTGCAGTTCCCCGCTAGGGTTAACATCAGTGGCGAATGATATCTGGACGGATTCAGTCCACCACCCAATTCCTTAATCCCGCAAATCATTGACAAAGGACTATAAATTGTATTTATACTTTACCTGTTTACATTGAGAGTCACATTAGAGTCCATAATAACAATGGCATATATCTACTAAACGTTAAATAATCATTCGTAATTATATTTTACAATCAATGATGAATCCACTGTTAGATTATATCCTCCCCATGTCTTTTTCGTTAAGTGGGCTGGCCATATTTCACCGCACTGGTAGATATAGTTGAGGGGCCTCTTACGACCAGTTCAGATATCACTAGCCACTGACATCAGCAATGACAGAAATCAAACTCGGGTTGTTCGGGTTTATAGCACATTATGGAAATCACTGTGCTACAGCTGCACCCCTTATTAAATACAGACTGCAGTTTAATGTGACCTCATTTTAATTGAGAATGGAGGGGGGGGGGGGTCCCTCCTTGAAATTCTGCACAGGGAATCGGGAATGCTCGACAACAGCAGAGAACAAGCCTTGGGCTGCGCTGCAATATTGCAGGAAGGACCTGCAATTTGCAGTGATTAGAGTATTACATTTCAAGGAAATGGCCCATGGGGTTTTCTTCTTAAATAGGACTAACCCAGGTGAGTAATTTGATTATGTAATACCAAGTCATCTATTTGCATTTACAGTGTGTTGTTGGCTGGAACTGATGTGGATAAGATGCAACACCTATGGCATAATCACTAAGCTAAGCCTGGAAAACCCAGCTTCCATTTTTATAACAATGTAGACTCAATATAAACATAATACTAACACAAAAGTTTAAAGGCATTCATTAATGTATATAAACAGAATGTTAATCAAATATTTTAAAGAGTTTATGAAAGAGCACATACAAAATACAAAAACTTCCAAGTCGTGTATTTAAAGAGGATCCCTTCCAAAGCAGTGCTACATCTTTACAGCTTGCAGCAGAGATTCATGGCAGAATATTTATAACTATAAACTGTAATAAGTACTGCCAAAATCCATTTATCAAAAATAATATCCTAACAGATGGTCCTGGACTGTTGTATTGTCCCAGTCAGGCTCTGACATTTTCTACAAGTTATACATATACCTCGGTGTTATAAGTATGATAAGCATTGGGATACCTGTAACATGTACTCGAGTTTTGTGCACAACTTGTTCAGGCTGGCATTATCGTCTGTCACAGGGTCTGCACACTCTCTGTACTCTCTGCTGAGCTCCGTCACACAATCTAGGCACACATACAAGAAGTACAGTTTATTTATCGTTAGAGTAAAAGGCATGTTAGGCATTGTCATACTATATTCTGCAAATCTTACCGAAAACCAAATCACCATCAATGCACCCGATCCAAAGTTAGCCAAGCGGTTTTATCCTGCTACTGCTCCGATGCGTGCCCATGCAAAAACAGGTCACTAGGCTTGTGGAGCCAAGTTCATGGGCAGTAGAAGAAACTACAGCAAAATATTATTGCATTGTGCTTCTATGTTCCCCAAAATCACCAGCCCGTACTGACCCGTGTACCGAAGTATGGTCAAATAACCCTCAAAACCAGTAGAGGCATGAGGCCCTCATCCAATATACATTATTCTGTAAACAGTTAAACAAAAACAATAAAGTATTCATGGAGTTGGAGGAAATATTTCTCTTTATATAGTTCTACATCTACCACGAAATCAAGAACAACGAATTTAAATTGTAAGCATTTAAAAGTAATGTCCGTTACTTTGAAGGAACTGATAGCCTACGTGTTAAACTGATACACAAATGTTCACAAGAGAGTTTGTGCTACTTACCATGCAATTCGCGAGTAATTCGCTGAACTTGACTCTCATCTTGTATGTTGTGAAACTCCATTGCATCCATTGAAACCATTGAATCTGAAGATTGGTGAAAAATAACACAATCACTTCCATTCCCAGACCCTCTAACTTCGATATGCACAATTGAGCAAAGGCTTGGTTTTGGCGTTGTGTGTAAGCACGTGTATATGTAGTGTAGCAGTTTAGACTTAAATGAAAGAAGAACGTGAATGTCCAGCGTACATAATATTGTATGAAAGTTGAAAATAAGTGTTGAAATTCAGCAAGACTTTGTTGATAGTCTTGAAAACGAATACTAAAACTCCTTCAAGTCTTGAAAGACTTAATTCGAGACTTTTTCTGGGGTAACAAATGTTAACTTTTTACCACGTGGTGGTGTAATGGTGAGCACACCGAACTCCAGAGGTTCACCGGCTTCAATAATCTCCAGGCGCGGAAGTTGAAACAATTACATCGGATTTTTGTTTTATTCCCTGCCTCTTGTCTACCCAGCAGTGGCCTGGGCAAGTAAGTTGCATGGCTGCACCGTTATACTCTATTTGCATTACAACATATGCATACACGGTAGTACGTTAGCCATTTGTAGCAGACGGTTAACATATTAAAGCATTGTAATTCGTGAACTCCCGCAGAGGAATTTGTACACTTAGAAGCATCTTCTTCAGGTGGAGAACAGGTCTGTCGAGAAGGCAGAGTCTTTAAATCGAAATTCACTTAGAAGCAGTTAATAAATTGCGCATTTTTGGAACAACCTCCATTGTGCGTCGAGCAAGGGGTGTGCGGGTGAGTGGTAATAGTTAACTGGATGTAAATATAACTCACTTGCTAAACTTGCATTTAAACACTGCTGGTGTATTCAACGTAAAATCCCTTATACAGTACTGCCAAGCCAGTACTTTAGAATATGTTCAGCCCATTACCCCCCAAGTCGTCGTAAACGCACGTTGCCACGGTGCATTACAAACGAATGTACATGCCCTCATTGTCCCGTGGTGCTTAGGCTCCCATGCCACCAACCCCACCGCCCCCCCCCCTCGAAGCCTGCATCAGAATATGCATTTATACTGAAGGAATCCGATAAGTTACAGAGCTCATCGGATTTTAAACAGATGTTCAGTAGGGGCGGATAAGAACGTTACACAACAACAATAAAAAAATACACGATAGGCGTGCAGAGTATAGGAAACGTAAACAAATAAATACAAATAAAACTAAACTATGTTTTATCTTACCAAGTAATGCCCACCGAGTCTATTAGCTGATTTTTCAAAAGCGATCTGGCCACAAATAGCTCAACAAAGTGGATTATTGCGTGGGAGATGTATAGCAGCAAAATAATCTAAATGCATAAATCTTGACTTAAAAGCTTTCGTGACTGCAGGAATTCATATTATTTGGGTCTTTCGGTAAAGTCACGTAGATAGGTACAAATTAATAAAAGAATAAACTATAAAATAAACAAAAAATATGCTTCTTAGATATGTGACTTTATCTACGTGACTTTACCGAAAGCACCCAAAGAATATGAAATCTAGAGGCATGTTTCCAAGCGCACCCTACACGCAGGATTTAATTCCCAACTGTGGCCACACGTGGACCCAGTGACTGAGTGCCCCCCTCTCTTTTCACCACCCAGAAATAGACACAAAGAAACCCACATCCCCAAATCCCATAGGACACGGCAAACAAACACTACGAGTATTATGGAAAATAACAGCCGTTTTCCCATTTCTGCCAATAAAAAAGGTGTTAATATATTAAAATACCATAGAGATACCTTTTGCAAGGAATCAAGTCTGCATTAAGCACACGTACCTGTGGTGAACATGCAAACAAAACATGGTCTGATAATAAATTATGTAACCATCGTCTTTTAAACGGATTGGCCTACACCAGACTCAGCCCTTTCTTTATGGCCTGGTCCATAAAATACAAGCATACAAGTCTGTTTTAAATCTATGACTACGGTATGTATTAGTATTATCATCTACACACGTGTTTAATTTCAGGCCGAGTGAAGGTGTGGGTCAGTTTTAATGGACTTGTAAAAAAAACATTACGGCTATAATACAATTTAATAAAACACAAGGACACAACCTTTATAAAGTCCCGATTTATATCAGTGGCGAACACGCAGTGACAAGCAAATCATCCAGCAGCAGTGGATTGACAAAAGGGCTTGTACATCAATCGCATGTTAATACTGGCGAGTACTGTTACACACAGATACCACCTCGGAGGTGAAACAAAACCACAGAACGGTGTAAAAAAAACACACATCACGTCTGTGTCCCTGGCAGCGAAATTGTTTACAGCGCCTGTAACTCAAGCACAGTGGCTTGCTTCTCTGGGGTAGGGGAAGAGACGCCGTGACCTTTTTACTGCTACAGCAAAACAAACACGAGGCCGTTAAAAACAACAGTCGACGACGAAGCAGCACGACCCTCCCCCCCCATCATCATCATCCTCCCGAGTTAACATCAACAAAGGGTCCATCCAAGCGCACCGTGTTTACTCCCCGCCACGCTGTATGTACGGCAAGGCAAGTGCGATTACAAGCGGCAACACGCTCACAACAGGACGACAGCCGTCGTCTTACTCAATAATAAAGATGATGATGACGATGATACCGATCGGAACGGCGGTCATGTACGTCTCTCGCCGGCTACTGTGCGGTTTGTTTATGCGACCTCCGAATTCGAGATACGAACCACACGAGAGGGCCCCACCACCACGAAAACTACACTCGTTCTATTAATAATAACAACACCGATCGGAACGTTTCACGTACCGTCCATCGTCTCACGGCTGCTGGGATTTGTTTTCTTCCCTCCTCCTCCGAGTGCGAGATACGAACTAGCCCGCTAACCAACCAGCGAGTTCTTATATCACGGCCACCGCTGATGGCCACGCAGCGGGCGCCGCGTGTTTACACGGCGGTGTGCCGCGAGGGGGCGTGGCAAGGGGCGTGGTGGGGGGCGGTGACGTCACGGCAGCTGCGTTGGGGAGTCCACGTGGTTACCGCATTGACCCGAGCAGAAGAGGTGGCGATGGGATGGGGCTCAAAATGTAACAGCACCTCTGTGGGGTGTTTTTTTTTGGTGGTGGAGAATTAATTGTAGCGCGGACTCGCGACGTAAATGAGCAGGCACTATTAATAATAAAGTTTTTTTTTAAAGACCGGAAGCAGGTGGATTGCTTCACTATTCTGGCAAATCGCCCGATGATGCTGGATGTAATTACCAGCGAAACGTCGTACTTAAATTGTAAATGTTGTGGATGTACTCTCGAACACACCGGTGAGCTGAAGTTGTAACTAAGTGGCGCGTTGTTGACATGACAAACCTGGCTGTGGTGGAGGGTTACGACACATTTATAATTACGCGATCTAACCCAAAAAAATGTATTATGAATAATATTGGTCGCGAAAGTACTACGTGTTAAACAGACACGACGATATTCACGTTTAGGACGAACAACAAACAAAATCTCAACACCCCGTATCACTGCTTTGAAATATATATACATACACACGTACTAGACGACGTTTCGGGTAATGAGCCTTCGCAGCGCATGAATATGCACTTTTTTTTAAAATCCCATCGGCCCACACGGCCTTCTGGGGGGGCGCGTCTAATTATTAGCAGCACAACACAAAGCACAACCACCCTGGACCGGTTTCGACATTCAACAGCCAGGTTTTGCGTGAGCCAGTGCTGGTGAACTACGCACGGAGCCCCATGCCTCGACTATAAACATTTGGCAAGTTCACTCACCAGCATTGGTTCAAGCAAAGCCTCGCTGCTGATAAAGACACTGAATGTCAATTATAACAACGCACCCAATTTCCTCCGTTACTCAACATCAAGAGTCGTTGGATGCGTTTGTGTGTGTGTGAGAGATGTGTACACGCTTACTGTATTGATAGCGGTCACAAATAAATTGCAACTTGTGGATTAGGTGATGCACCCATGCAGGTTAATGAAGTTACATTTTTTTAAAGTGAGGATGTTGATTACGGGTCAATAAAATCGTTGGTGCCGGACAATCACAGCTGGGGTGTAGCTGTGAGTATGTGAGGTGGATTAGGAGCAAATCGCAGGCCCGTGAGAGTTGGTGACGGCTTTGGGAGCTCTTGATTAAGCATTGGTATGATAACGAGCTGTAAATAATCACTGTTAAGTGTGATATTCTGAGACATGCCGGTCACGAATCACACATGCTACGGTACATTATGCACTGTATAGCTTTCACGTTGGTAATTTATAGTGATTTAAATTGTACAAGAACATGCACATATATATACCGTGCTAAATATATCGGTATAATGCAAAGATGTGTAATAGCCATCATATAGGTCGCGTGTTCCCACAGGTGAAAGACGACTTTTGATTTAATTAAAGCTTTCAAATGAATCCCCATTATGTTGCAAATAAGTTGTAGCAACACCCACGTCACGGGAGAGCTGAAAATATTCCCACCGTGCTTGGCCACCTTTCTAAATTCTTTACTTCATTCAAATTCAAACAAAGTCATTACAAATTGCGCATCCGATGAATGGAGAATTCCGCATCCGATGAATGGAGAAAAACCTGGTGCTTGGTCAAATAAACGATAGTCTTTAGAAATTACAATAGGTCAATCATTAGAAGCTCGTTGCTCTTGCCAATGAGGTTTCGCATTGTTTGGCGTGGGTATGTTGAAACACTCACTCAGGGTTTGCACAAGAGGAGCTCTGTAAAATAAATCCTAGGGAGCAGCCGGGTAAATAGTGAATCCTCTATTTGGTGAATTAAGCACACGGTCCCAATATTAATTATTTAAAATTACAGGAATGTTTGGGTAGTTTTATGAGTAGAATCGAAAACTGGAAATGAAAACCGGTTTTAACCGTAAATTTCCTGCAACTTAAACCGATCCAATTTTTGTGATGCTCCGGAATGAACCAACACCCCCGCCCACCAAAGAAGTCTCACTCTCATAATTAACCTCATTAACCTCCTCATAGTAACCTTGTGGAGTAGTGGAGTAATACACACTCACTATTCCTGATAGGATGTCGCCTCAGGCCCACTCTTAGAATCCCCTTGCAACTTGTGGCTATGACTCTTGACTGCAGCCGCGCCTGGACACAGCCAATCTACCTCATTTGCCCGGAGCAAATTTCTCCGGTATACCTGCGGTCACCAGAACAGACCGTGCAACACATAACGACTCAAAAATAACCAATGCACAGACACAAAAGAGGTATTTTCACAGGGATACACTCTCTCTCGAAGCCACGAGAGGGCTTCGGGAGAGAGTTCGTGTAGTTTTGCTACTCCTCCCTTGTGACAATATAATTAATTGACCCCTCATCATTTTTTTACTTTGCATATTAATTTATGTTTTAAAGAAACATTACTTTAAAAATAGCTATAGATAATTAAATCGGGGTCACAAGACATCTGGACCGCCCTGTATATGGCCCATAGTTTGGGTTTCATGGCCACATTCGCACTAAGGTGGCTTGTCTTGAATTTTCCATTTATTATATGTATGTTGAACTTCTATCGCACCGTGTTAATCGGATATGGGGTGGAAGGACAACAAACTAATCACATAAAAGCAGCTCTATTGCACATCAGCCTGCCCAATGTTCCGATGCAGCCGATGGTTGAGAAATCTCAAAGCTACGAGGGGCCCAATTAATGGTTGGGTCTCGAATGAGGCGTTTACTGTGGCACGCCACCGTTGTTGCGAATCTACGTGACGGTCGGTAATCGCTTCGAGAGCACTCGTAAAGAAGCCCAGGTCCGAACTCCGCAAAGAGACCGGCACCGGCACGGGAAGAGACCCGCGTGGTGGCGCTGTGGCCCCGCAAAGAAGAGTCACTGAGCGCCACTCTCGCCCGCCTCTCCTCGGGGCAGCGATTCCCTTGTGGTAGCCAATAAAAGGTGGGTCCGTGAATAAAAAAAAAGAACAAAAAATATCTCCACCAAGGAATTGTACAATTAAAAAAAAGTATTAGCATTTGGTGGTCCGCGTAACTTAGATTTAAAGCTTTCGTGACTGCAGAGATTCATATTCTTGGTTCTTTCGGTAAAGTCACATAGAAGCAAAATAATAATATTCTTGGTTCTTTCGATAAAGTCACGTAGAAGGGAAATAATAAAATAATATTAATATAAACCAATATATTATAAATATAAAACAATATATTTATATTATTGTATTATTTCCCTTCTACGTGACTTTACCGAAAGAACCAAGCATATGAATCCCTGCAGTAACGAAAGCTTTAAATGGAAATAATAATGTTTGGAAGTTGAAAAACGGATCCGTACACTCGAAATGCGTGGGAACCGTTTCGCCAAGGTCCGAGCGCAGTGTTTTTCTTTGGAATATGTGTGGATTCCTGCAGTCACGAAAACTTCAAATCTAGATTCTTTGGAATGCCCGTGGGTAACTGGCGGCCACCTTAGTGAAGTCCCCGACAATACACATGCAAAAACACCCCTTGCAAGCGGTGTGGCGGCCCTCACACTGATGATATCTTATCGGCAAAAGTGCCTCCCCCCCCCCCCCCCCTCTGAAAATTAGTGAAGAACACTGGCCTCGGAATCGACTGGGGTCACGGTAAACTTCGACGCCAGCGAGGCCCTCTGCACTGAAGCTCGGCTTGTGCCCGGTGCCTTCCAAGCCCCCTTTACACCGCCCATACGCTCGACTGAGACCACCCTGTTGCGCAACGTTGATCCACGCACCGGACCGCAGATGACCTCGTCGGTACTCGGCTGTCACGCCAGCACTGGCTCACTCGATATTGCAACATCAACGGGCGTTGTGTATTCAGTTGCAGAGGGCATTAAATACGAATGAGGTTGCTTTTAAAAAAAAAAGTTGAATTCTTTACAACATGGCTCAGTGTTCCCACTGCTTACACATGATTTCTGCTTGCTTTATTTGGACATTCTGGGTGAACTTGGCTGATTATTTCTGCGTCCGGTCCACGAAGGTATGCAACACATCCCATGCCGATTGCAAGGCAACCTCAAACCACTCTTTAAGATAGCTGTGACCACACCCTGCACCCTACATCCCACCCACTTCTGGCTGAAACATACTCTACAAAGGTATAACCCTCGAGGATGGGGACCAGGCCATCTGTGACGAAGAACTTCATAGCTCATCGGATTCCTCTAGTCTAAATTAAGATTCTGATTCTGACAAGTGAGAAATTACACCTATTCTCCATATTTTTTCTTACAGCATAGGGTGTGCAGATTGTGGTAAGCTACCACACCTCTGTATAACATGATCAATGGAAATGGTCGTACTCTTTGGTTCTTTCGGTAAAGTCACGTAGTTAGAAATAAAATAAATCACGTTTCGATCGCAACACAAGCGACCTTCGTCAAATGGCACCGATACAGGACAACCGCTGACATAGGAAATGGTCGTATTTTACAAAATTCACTGAGTGCAGGGCATCAGATCAGTCTTTGAAGTAAGACGGATGAGTTCTTCCAGGAATCTGTTTTACCGTCCACATCTTTACCTGTAATTCAAGTAGCTCTATGAGCTGCGAGTGCACAGACAATGGTTCCATTCTAAGTGCAGGTTTATTCATAAAATCAAAGTATGTACATGGGGAACAGAATTCCCATTTTCTCCAGATATAAATCTTTACAGGATACCATAACATTGAAGACACTACAATTGCACCAGTTGGTAAAGAAAAGAAAATAAACCTTTTTCCAATCATTATTTGATACATACAAGACAAAATAATAAGTTTGCCTTTTGTCTTTATTAACAATCGTATAACTGCATTATTATAATGCTATCCTTTTATTACCAGTGAGTTATATCAGACACCAATGCAATCGGCTCTTCTTTAATTCTGTACGGTCCTGCATCTAATCTTGTAACAGTTAAAATCAACACATTGG